AGATAGATAGATAGATAGATAGATAGATAGATAGATAGATAGATAGAATTTGTGTTGTTTAGCATCATTTATGGCACTTTATAACACATTTACTAGATTTTGTCAGGGTTATTTCTTACATTTAGTTAAGTTTAGTTTTTTTCATATGTGATCATGTAGAGGCTGGAACATGTCAAATGAAAGTTAATTACAGTTAATTAAGCAAAGAGTGAGGAGCAGCCTTGCTGAGGAGAAATCTCTTGTTTGGAGGTAGCAGGCCGAAAAAATCTGGATTTATTTGGCCTATATTTGAAATTTCCTTCAAATAACCTTTAACATGATGTTTTTGGTCTTATTAAATGTTCTGTTTTGCATAAAAATGACTTCCTTTTCAAACACTTAAACCTAGTTTGATGTGTGAGCACATTGTTTTGGGGTTTTCAGACTTTCAGACAGTTTTCTAACAGCGTTCTTATTTTTGTTTTATTTATTTACTTATTTATTTATTTTTTGCTCTTACTGTTTTTTTTATTTTTTATTATTATCTTTGAGTTTGTCTTGTGTTGTGGTGATGATTGTGTTTTATGATCTGCTCAAATGACCTGTACAGCGCTTTGATTTTAGCATTGGCTGACTGAAAGCGCTTTATAAATAAAGTTGAGTTGAGTTGAGTTGAGTTGAGAAGCTCGACCGGTGAGAGCTGGCTTGCTGTACCTGCTCCCCCGCCCGCTGGGCAGCTGTCCATCGAGGAGGCGGCCGGCGCTGCGGCTCCATCGTCGCTTTCAGCCTCCTGCTGGCTCTCCTGCTTCACCTGCACCTCCGCTCCGGCTCCGGCCTGAGAGCTCGCTGCCCCCTGCTGCTCTGTGGCCTGCGAGGGGGGAGGGTTGACCACCAGGGGCGACACGGCGGCCACTGGGACCACGCTGGCGGCCAGGGCCACGGTGGGGGCGGGGTAGATGGCGGTTAGCACCTGGGCAGAAAGGAGGCGGCTGGCATTTAGCCTAAAGCCGAGCAGGAAGAAAAAGGCCGGCAACGGCCTGCGGCGACTCTACCTGGCGACTGGCGGCGGCCGGCTGGCCCGGCGGCATCTGAGACTGGCAGCTGAGGGGCGGCGCCGGAGCCAGAAGGGGCTGCTGGCCGACGATGGGCTGGACCAGCGCCTGCCCAGCCGGGGAGATGGCGGCGAAGCCCAGGGCCGCCAGAGGAGAAGGCAGGTAGGAGCCGGGAGGCTGCGAGCCCGTCTGGGGCGCCGCCGACGTCACCTCCGGACCCGACTGGACGTAGGTGATCCTGGACAGAGGAAAGGTCATGAGTCAGAGGATCTGTGGGGGGTTTTCCTTCTGGGGATTCCTCAGGAAGTCAACTCATCATCTAATCGTGAAGAGAAACGACCAGTTCTTTTCAAAAATTGGAAATAAAGACTTCTTCTTTAAAGGTGGGGTTCATAGCTTTTTGTTTTGGGCTTCCTTTCTGAGGAGGCTCAGAAAGGAGCGACAGAGCTCTCAGGGGTTAAATCTGATGTCTGAGAGCTCAAAGTGTCCATTTTAGGATCAGAGCTTCATTAAAAGCATCCAGACTTTAACCGATCTGCTGTCATTAAGTGGAACAGGAACTTTTTAAAGCAGCACAGAGTTATTTCTTCGTTTCAGGACTTATTTATCAGAATAACCTCCATCTGCTTTACTCAGAGACAGAAAGTGAAATCAGTTCTGTATCAGACATTTAGGAGGTTTCCCCATGCTGCTCTGAGGCTCTTAAGTACCAGAACTAAGTTTTATAGCAGGGAAATGCTTCTGCACCTCAGCTTGGCTGTGCGTGAAATCTAAAAACATCTTTAAAAGCAGGTGGTTTGCTAGTGACCTGGTGGGCTGGGGGGTGAGGAGCACCGTCTGGGGGGGTGCCGCACAGGGAGCCATCACAGTCGCCACAGAGTGGACGCTGGTCTGCATCAGGGGAACCGTGCCGATCTGGATGATCTGAGGAGGAGCCGCAAAGTCAGTTAAAACCAGTTTTAACATCTAAAGAATCAGGTGTTGGTTTAAAAACACAAATATCCCCATTCAGCCACAAAACTCTCTTTTCTGTTAAAGAACAACAGGATACAAAAGGAATTTCTGTGTAACTGTGGTGGTTTTGTGTTTTTCAGTATTTTATATTGATGAAATTGAACCATTTAATGCATTTTTCCGGTCAATTTCTACCTAATCGTTCAAATGTTGCCTCTTCATGTCTCTTTTTACATTAATTGTGTCCTTTTTCTGTTGGTTTTGTGTCAGTGTCACCATTTTCAGACAATCAGGATTTCAAAGCCAATTGCCTGTTTTTTCTCACAGGATGCTCAAACATCCTCCTCTCTTCGTATCTATCTGCACTATTCCACATTTGAATTCTTCTCGGCCAGCTCTCATCAGGCCTGTTGCTTCATTCAGAAAATCAACCAGACTCCAGGTCTAAATTTGGCCTGTTTTTGTTTGAAATCTGTCCCCTCACAGTCTGGTTTTCCTCAGCTCTCCCACACGCCTCTCTTTGTGAGATATCTGCCATTTTTCACTATGTTTCTCATCTCTTTCCTGCCTCCTGCTGCTCTGGTTTCTGCCTTTTGTTTCGCCATCCGTCCCTTATCTTTACCCAGCGACGAAAAAAAAAAAAAAAAAGTTTCTCCGAAACACCAAAACAGGCAGCGATTCGGCCCGTTTGCCTTCATCTTGTGTTGCTCACCTTGTTTGCAGCGGCCGGGCCGTTCTGCACAGGAAGAGGCGGAGCCACCAGGGAGATGGAGGGCTGAGGAGGAGTGGACCCCGCCCTCACCGTTGCCATGGGAACCAACACATTGCTCTGCAAGGCCGGCGACGGGGTTTGGACTGACGAGCAGAAACAGAGAGAGAGAGGTTAAAACGTTAGCGGAGGGGAGCAGATGAATGAAGTCAGAAGAGAGAGGTGAAGGTGGGAGGAGACAGAGAGTCGTTAAGGAACGGGCAGCGGTGGCGGCGTGATGTCCATCGTTTAGCGCCGGCTCGCAGAAGCCGACCAGATCTGGCTGCGAAAGAAGTCGACAGAGAGGAGAGGGAAAGAGTCTAATCTGTCGGGCTTTGACGGCCAATCGCTGCTCTCTATCTCACCTCTCGTCCCGGGGCTGAGTCTGATCCCCGCCCCTGCCTGCACGCCATTGGCCAGGGCGCCGCTGGCGGGGAGGGAGAGGAGGTGCTGCGTGAGCTGGGGGGAGGTGGGGCTGTCGGCGGGCAGGATGTACTGGACCTGCGCCGGCCGCCTGGAGCCGAGTGGCTGAGGGGTGAGGAGCTGCAGCGGCTGGCCGGCGGGGAAGGCCCCCCCCCAGGACTAGGCTGGTGACCAGGCCGCCGCCGCCGCCGCCCACGGGGGCTACAGGGAGCGGGCCGGGGGGGGAGGACGACAGGTACCCACCCCCTGCGCTGAGCGGCAGCTGCTGGGCGCCGCCTCCTCCCATCAGGAGGCCGGCTTTGCTGTCCGGCGCCACCGGGCCGAGGACGCCGGCGGCCTCCGCCTGCTTGCTGGCGATGGGGATGGGCGTGCTGGCCACGGGTCGGACCACGTTGGTCACCACTGTGGGGGCAATGCGGACCCCCCCGAGGAGCTGGGTGAAGGCCGGCTGGGCCCCGGCAGGCTGGGGGGCGCTCTGCCCGCCTCCTCCTTCCCCTCCTCCTGCCGGCTCCTCTAGCCTGGGCCCTCCCTGGCCGCCCTCCTCTCCTCCACCCCCTCCTCTGTTTCTCCTCCTGTCAGCACTGTCCTCTGCAGCTACTCCTCCTTCTGTGATCCCTTTATGCGAGCTGGAGTCGGAATGAGGGGTGGAGGGAGAGGAAGAGGAGGGGAAAGAGGAGCGAGCCACCGGCTGGAAGCCCTGCTGGAGGGAAAAAACAGAGTTATCCACATTTAAACTGAAGGTTTTCTCAGGTCTACAGATGAAATGCCGAGCATTAACCCTCATTTTGTCCTCTCAGGTCTGGTTTTAGTGCCCATTAAGCTAAAAGTTCTTACTGAACTTGTTTAAAACAGTGTAATGAATGCATTGTTTGAACATATATTTACTACACTTATTTCTGTAAGACATGGAATAATAAAGCTCATTTGATAGAAATTACAGCTTTTGGAGAAAAGTTTAAAATTATTCCACAGCTCTGTGTTCAACCTTTTTAGTCAACTTGTTTCGAACCATCAGCACAAAGTTTACCTTCATTTTTTAAACTGATGCTATAACAGAGCTCATTTCCAGGAAATCTTGCTTCGTTTTGGGGGAAAACCAGCAGGAACTCTGAGTTCTTTGAACTATAGTTTGGATCAGAGGCTCAGATGTTGATGAATAATGTAAAAAAGAGCTAAATGTGGAATTGTCTGTGTCATTTTCAGGCTTTTAAATTAAAAAAATGTTGGATCAAATTAAAACAGAAATGTGAGCTACACTCTCAGAACCAGCTGGACAACAAACAGCTGCTTAATAAACAGATGAATCTTAATCCAGAGGCAGAATTTGTCCTTAAGAAATATTAAAAAGCTGCTCCTACCTGTCCATCCGGCTCATCCTCGTCACTGTCCGTGACTCTCTCTTTACACTTGAGGTCAATGGAGCCTTCTTGGCATGAGTCCTCTGAGGGTGAGATGTCAAAAAGTTGTGTTTCAGCAAAGGGACTGAACACCAAATGAACCACAGCACTGTTTGCATGTTTATCACATAAATGTAGGTCTTGTATGAAAATTACTACAGTCAGACTGCCCAAAGACTGAAATAAATACTCTAAAGAAGCTGTCAATTTCAGTGTGTGTGACCGGCATGTGAAACAGGCTGTGACACGACTCTTCTTCATTTTCACAAATCCCATACGAGGCATGAATGAATCTACAGCCTTTTCAGGATAATCAAGTGTGGATCTGAGCTCCAACTGTTGTTTTCAAACAGGAACCAAACTTATGTGAAAAGCCTGCAGACCAAAAGAGCAGCTCCACCCTAAAGGCAGCAGGAAACTCTATTGGACACTTTTTGAGCCTTGTTTTGTGTAAACATGAACTCTGAAACATGTTGGCACAGGACAGCTTGTAAAATACTCAGATTATGATATGAAGGTGTAATAAAAAGAATGGATAAGTGCTATTTCTATGATTTTTACGTCAACTATGTGAGCGTTTCTGACCAGAAATGCATCTTTTGGGGATTTCTTCCTTTGAAATGTTACTGAAATGTTTGCTTTTTCATGGCAAAACACACTTTTCTCTGAGCTGGTTTGGTTGCTGTGCTGCTGGAAGGACTTCTGATAACATTTCACATCTATTTGGCACAATTAAAGCTGTTCAGCTGTTGCTCACGGTGCTTTCCAAAGCCCAAAAATGTCTGAAAAAGTGCCTCAAATCAGTATGGGGGAGGAGGAGGCTTCCAGGATGCAGACTGGGAACAAAATGGAGTATAAGAGGAGGGGGTTTAAAGCATTTCTCTCCTTTATCAACATTGGGAATGTGAGCCTCGTGAGCAGCAAAATGGAGGACCTTGGAGCCCTGATGAGGACCCAGCAGGAACATAAGGCAGAGTCATGGCTGCTGGAGCACTTTTAAAGGCTCTCTGTCAGCTTTATGGCTGTCAGGGCAGCAGAGTCGGGTTTAAACTTGCCCCTGCTGCCGTTTCCCAAAACAAAATCAGGCTCTGGTTCACGAGATTGCTGACATAATTCTCCGTGTTTTGAAAGCACAGATGGCCATAATGGGAAGTGAAACTATCAGTGTCTGCAACTGCCTTTTACTCATCCAGCTCACCCATGACATCATCGTCGCCCTCTTCCTCGCAGATGACCATGCGCTCTTCATCGCTCGTCACGTCCTCGCTGGCGCCGCCTTGGTACAGCGACTGGAGCGGCGGTCGGCTGCGAAACAAACCCGCTCCATCGTCCTGACAGGAGACGTTTAAAAAAAACATTCAGTTAAAAGCCAAAACCTTTGAACAGAGCTGTGTCTCAGCAAAGCTGCACGCTCTGAAACTGAAACCTCTAAAGATGCAGCCCCCCCACCAACACCCACAACACTCTCATGGATGTTTTCTTTTTTTTTTTTTTCTCGGCTTAAACTGCTCATACTTTTCCACAAAGAGCTGAGTCGGCTGTTCAGCAGATTTCGTCAAACTATTGTAGGTCAACGCAGCTAGACTGTCAGAAACTGGTTAAATAGGTTTTGGGTGTTCTACTTTTGGACTGAATTGACTTTTGTGGCCCCTTCAGGGTGCTTGTTCCTCCACAGGCCGACGTCCTCCTACCTTCTCCAGCTCTCTTTCCCTCTTTTCCAGGGTGTGCACAGCACTTTGGGAGAACGCTCGGGGGCGGGGCTGAGGCCCCCCGGTCGGCCCCACCCGACGCTCGGGCCCCTCGGGCCCCTCTGGCCATGCGGGGCCTCCTCCCTTCCCGTCCTGCGCCGCCGGGGACTCCGACAGGGCATCTGTGGACAGCACACATCAGTGAAATGTCCTCCGCAGCCGTTTCCCACCTGATTTCTGCTTGTTCTGCACATCTCAGAGACAGACCGATGCTCTCAGACATGCTCCTCTCCCGCAGCTCCTTTGGGGTCCCCCGGCCTTCGGACAGGGACTTCCTGCGGTCCTTGTTGCACCACTTCCAGTCCGGGTGGGCCCTGAAGTGGGCCTCCTTCACCTGTGCTCGGAGGAGAGGCACGGCGTGAGTCATGGATCCCTCCCAGGGGTCGGGGAGGCGTCAGAGGGCGGCCTGCTCTTACCTGAAAGGCCAGGTCGTGGTACTGCTGCTTCTCGTTGGGCCCCAGGGCGTACCACCACTCCCCCAGGATCTTGCTGACTGTGCGGTTGTCCTGGTTGGGGTGGCGCTGGTGCACCAGGGCCCGGTGGCGTTTACTGAAGATCATGAATGCGTTCATGGGCCGGCGGATGTGGTCCTTTTCCCTCTGGAGTTAGGGATAATTCAAGATAAGCAATCCTTTCCTCAGATTTGTTTTTACTTCCAACCTCACAGAAGCAATCGCCTCCTGTTCTAATTAAACAGGTGGTGCATTTAGATGCTGGTAGAAAGCTGGGAGATTTGGGCTTTAATGGATACTATCATCAAGTTTATACAGTTATGTAATCACTTCCTTATTTCTATGAAATGTACAACGAAGGGATCATTACACTCAGTCTAACTAAACAGCTTTCAGGGGCACAACTAGAAGCGGTTTCCAGCTGGACCTGGAAAAACACTAAAAACACTAAAAACACTCACAATAATACAATATAACTGAAATATGTAGAAAAAGTATCACATAAATCTGATTAATTTACCTGAATTATACTCAATCAATAAAAAATATAGTATTAATCATTAGAAAAAATTAGAAAATAGTCTTTAAAGGTTTTTCAAAGGTCTATGAGTAACAATCAGGGGCTGATGAGCTCATTCATTTCCACAAAAACATCTTTACTTATTTGTACAGAGAGAAATGACACTGGATACTGGAAACCCACATGCCCCAGCTTTCTTTCAGCACTTGAATGCCACCATATGGCTAAAACTGAGGAGACTGAGGCGAGAAAATAGCCCCAAAATCATATGTGACCTCCTCTTAAAGGGGCTCCTGATTTAAGGAGCCACATCTGTAAGGTTGGAGGTAAGAATCTATGCGAGCAGAGAGGTTTAAATGGAGTCGGTTTTCTCTAAATATGGGCCGACCTTCCTGTCCATGTCCTTGGGCAGGGCGCTGAGGGACTGTGTGCGCCTCTTCATGGGTCCGGTGGAGGGAGACGGGTCGTTGGCCACGCCGGGGGAAAACCTGCATTCACACATAAACAAACAGGAAAAACAAAGGTTGGTTCATCAGTAGCTGCTTGTAAGATTTAAAGACGTAAAAGTACATTTTTGGACATGAAACTTCACCAAAGGTTCAAGCACAGATTCAGGTTGAGTCAAATTTAATTAATAAAGTAGTGCTGAGTGGTAATAAAACACAGATTACTGCATAATACTATTATATTATATCAGATTAGATTATGTAATATTATGTAATATTATATTATATTTTACATCTACACTCTACACACCATCATTACCAACAGCACTATTATAATTAAAATTATAACTAATTTCTTAAATACTTACTATTCTCTGAACTACCATTACATAGCAGGCCTGTTCTTAGACATCCAAATAACCATGTAAGAGTGTTCGTTATTGTGGTAATTATTAATGATGATGATTTAATCTAGATAATTATTGCTGTGGATAAGAGGCAGAATGGGAGTAAAGTATATCCAGCATGTGGGAGAAGCTGTTTTGGTCCAGATGATGAGGAACCAGGCAGTCGGGGAGTTTTAACATTGAAGCCCAGATGTTGAGAACAGCTGGTGGAAAACGCTTATAGCTTCTCAGCCACCGTGTTGCTGCTCGAGCCCAGTGACCCTGAACGGGTGTAACCAGGCTGGTCTGAGGCATTCACACCTCCCAGAGCAGAGCCCCGGCCGTAAAGGCCTTCAGACCACCAGACGAGCTGCATCTAATCACACATAGCAGCTCTTTCTGATCCTGAGTCATAACCAGAGCCGCATACAGGAAGCCGCTTGAACCAGGCGTCTGAGTCGGCACAGCTCATGCGAAGCACAAAAACACGTCAATGCTTTTTAGTGGACGCTTTTGCTTTTGTTTTGAGGTTTCCTGGACTTATAAAAACACACAGCGTCGTTTTTCCAGCGTCTGAGAACTCATAAAAAACGAGTTTCTGCTTGAAAATAATCTATTATTTTACCTTTCTGCTGTTCAGAAAGACTAACTTACAACAGTTTTTGTGATTTCTCTCCTTCTTGTTTTTGTTTTTATTAAGTTAGGAGGACAAATGGCAGCTCAAGTCCCGACTCAAGCCAACCAAAGTCAGGAAACAGCTGAAACTGGCCAAAAGGCAACAGGAGGCTTAAATGAAGGTGACCCTGGACTGAATGGGAGGCCTCCTCTACTTTTTAACTGCTCACTGGAGCCCCCTACTGGCCAGAGCATGCGCTTCTTTAACTTATATATGACGTCTGGTCTATGATCAGCCAGACATGGTCGTTTTTTCAGACATTTCCCCTGAATACGACACCAGGATTCGTCCATCCAGTCGTATTAATGTACTCACGGGTCGTCTGTGTCGCTCTCCGTCTCGCTGTCGGCGCCACCACGGTCTGAGGGAGGATTGTCATTGGCTGGGGGAGGGCAGGAGGGCGAGCCCCTGTCCTGGTGCAGGGGGCCCGTCTGGCCGTCGCTCAGCAGGGCAACGCCACAGCGAGGCTCTGCAAAAGTAAAGGGCATGTCGTCAGGGGTCGGATAAACTGCAGCCCCCCCCTCCCAAAAAACAAAACAAAAACAGGAAGTAATCCTTAAAAACCTAAGGAAATAGAAAAAGAAACAGGATTCTTCTTCTTCAATCCCAAAACCGGACAAAAAGCATGTGAACTCAATTATATTCAAGTAAAGAAATACTCTTATTTTCTTATTATCTATTTATACCAGAGGGAGATTAAATGTTGTTTTAACTCATTTAGTTAGGGAATTATCATAGATTAGAACCGGCCTTCTGGACCCGGTTCTGGAGCCTTTTTTGGGTCCCTGGTTCTGATACTTCTGCAGAGGAGACGACACTAAATAACAGACTTGTGGGTCTGCAGCATCTGGCTGCAAACACTGACGGATTTCAGCTTCCTAAAGAAGTTCAGTCTGCTCTTTTCCTTCTTTAGATGGCTTCACTGTTGAGCCTGTTATTTAGATAAACACCAAGGGGTTTATTTTCTTCTTCTCCCATGATGGAAAGAGGGTTCGATCCAACTCTTTTTCTCCTGAAATCTACAGTCACCTCCTTTGGTTTTGTTTTGTTGCCCCAAAGCGGTTGACCAGCCCTCTGTCCTCTGCTTTTGGTCCATCTCCGATCCACAGAGAGTGGGCCAAGTGCAGCCCCCTGTGGAGCTCCAGAGCTTCTAGCTGCCAGGTTGGTCTGTTTGATCGTTGATCCGGGCTATTTGTGAGGCCTCCCCCTTTGTTTCAGACCAAGCAGGTCGGGCCGAATTGTGTTAAATGCACTGATGTTATTATTATACTGTTATAGTTACATTATAACCACTATTACAGTGGTTTTATAGATCCAGTAGGGGGTCCATGTCTTAAAATGAATACAAGACTTTATTTAATAGGCTAAAATTAAGATTTTAGCAAGTTCTGCCATCCTGCACAAACCAGAATTAATTCATGGGCACATTTCTGACACTCGAGTCTGTATAAACTGTTATCAACAGCGCCTCTGAAACCACAGAAGTGTGAACGCCAACTGTGCTGGTTTGTCCTCCCCTGTTTTGGCTGCCGATTGTCTGAGGGACGCCGTTTTTACGCTGAGCTTCACAAATGTATCAGACCGCCTGCTAGAAAGAGCAAGAGGGAATCTTCTTTTATTTTTGTAGAAATCTGTCAAAAACCTGTTACAACTGAAAATGTCTGAGTTATTTCTGTGTGTCTTCCCAAAGAGAAGAAGCTAAAGGCTCCCTTTCCTCTCAGAATCAGCTTTAACTTCATCTCTCTGCTCTTTTTCCTCTGGTTGTTTTTCTCTCCTCTCTCAGGTTATTTAGTCCCTCAGAGGTTCCAGCTGCTCCTTCATACTTGCTTTGGATCAAACTTCTGTGTGATCAGTCTGTGGATCTCCTGACTCCCACATGGACTTTGCCTGGGCTGCTCCACCAGCTCCAGTCCTCCAGCTGCTGGTGGACGTCTGCAGGCCTCAGAAACAGCTTCTCAGCAGCTCTGCTTCCCTTCAGCCTTTTGCCATCAGACCTCTGGAGACTTTCTCCACCTCTGATCTAGAAGCCTCTTATTTCGCACTCTAAAACCAGCTTTCAGGGAGCTCCTTCTGACTGTTTTCTGTGTTTCTGCTCCCATTTTGAGTTCATTTTATGTCTCAGACTAGTTGTTTTGTGTGTCTTTGTGGCGATGTTGTGATGGTTTTGTGTTTTTCTCCCATTATTGTGATTTTTCTGGTAGTTTTCTGTCTGATATATTTCCTAATAGTCTCTGGTTCATGTTTTCTCTCATTGTGGTAATTTTTTTATGTCTTTGTGATAGTTTTGTGTCTTATCTTCTGGTATTTCTTTTTAGTTATTTTGTGTCTCAGTTAATAAGGGATTTCAAACCTAGTTTCCCCTTTTTTTTCTCCCCAAATTTCAGCCCACTCTTCCATAAAACTCACAATTCTTTTCAGGAATGACAGGAAATATTCAGAATCTGAAATTTTAATAAGAAATAATCATATTTTTCCATATTTGAAGTAAAACTGAATATTTGGAAATGCACAGAGTCAGTCTGCTGCTCATTCAGTGATAAACCCCACATTTGTTAAGCATATGGGGGCATCGATCAGCCCTCTGTGCCCTCTGTAAAGTCTGCAGAAGAGGTGGGGGGTCACAACGCTACCTTTGCCCTGATTGACGAGCTGCTGGCCGTCAGTAGGCTGGGCGGCCGCTCCTGATTGGCTGGGCTCCAGGAAAGGGACGAGCGAGTGCCAAGGGAACACTGGCACCGACCGAGGCTCCACGTTGGTCCAAACTGTGGGAAGAGAGGACAATCAGAGGTAAAAAAAGTTAAATGTCATGGTGTTTTTCTGCCTCTGTGTCGGCGGACTGTCCTCTGAGCCACTAAATCTGCTCTGAGAACCAGTCTGAAGACCAGAAACGGCAACATTGAAATCAGGCCTGAGGATAATGAGGGCAGCAGGTGATGTGTGACATGAGGGAACCTGTTGTTCATCCACAGACATAATAGACTCCAGAGTACTCCATGTCTGTTTCAAGACAAGAAAGATGACATACATTCATCTGAGACTCTATCTGATGCATAAAGCATTTAATAAAAACCTTCACAGCTCCACTCTTTTAGTGGTTCAATTCGAATTTAGAGCTTTAATACTTGCGAGAGAAGGGTTTTTGCTATAGAAAAGATGTTAAAATTTTTTTTAAAAAGCCGGCTGAGAAACATGCAGAAAGCAGAAGTGTAGCAGAGAGGAAGGTGTGATAGAAACCTGCTCCTCCAGCCATGTTTCTGCCTCACATTCCTGCTGGCTCCTCATCAGGGCTGCGACAGCCTCCATTTTACAGCCCTCTGATCTCACATTCCCCATGATGATCAGGGAAGCACATGGCTTAACCTTCCTCTAGGGTTAACCCCTTGTATTCCTCAAGTGGTAAACCTAAAAAGCGGGTCGGTGTCGACCCCAAAACAAGAGGAAGGTTATACTTCCTCCTCCTTGTCCCCCATTTTGTGCCTGCTGTACATCCCACTTTCTGGTGGAACACAAATGTAAAAAGTTCCCAGCAAAAGTATTTCCAAACCAGATCAGTCAAATGTTTCAGGAATAAAAACTTTTTTTCCTTTAAAAAGAGAATATTTTCCTCAAAAAAAAAAAAAAGAGGCAGTGTGTTCAGAACTGTTGGCAAAAAAAGATCCCCTAAAGGTGCCATTTCCCATTAGGATCAGAAATGCTTTAACCTTCCCCCTCCCTTTTCTGCTGCTCTCTACGCTACACATCTTCTCTTTAACTCAGAATTTTAGGTCTTTTTTGAAGACATTTCTTTGGCTTTGGAATGACAAACAATTGCCAGTTATCATCCATAAGCCCAACCAGCTCAGCAAAGACAAAATTCTAAAGATTTGTTTTTAAAAAAGAGGCAATGTGATCAGAGAGGCTGGAAAAAAAATCCCTAAACGATGCATTTCTGGTTAGAAGTGCTTTCACAGTGGACATAAATGTCATGGAAATACACACTTTAATACCATAATCCATGTACACCCACAGCTAAATCAAGACAAGCTTAAATGTCTAAATTATTATGTTTTTTTATTGCAGAAGCATTCATGTAGTTTCAGTTTCAGGCATCAATAAAACAGCATCCTGTGAAGAAAACACCCCTCAAAGCAGAAACTCCTGCAATGATTCATTCAAAGAATCTCCTCTCAGAACGAATACTACCAACAGCCTTGCTATGTTTAGCTTCTCCTGCTTTGGGATTCGGAAAAAAACGCTGACTCAGCAGCTTTTCTGACCGAGCAAACAGCTTAAACCACAGACACTTGGTGGAAAGAAAGGAGGCTACAAACTCCACAGATCAGCGCCCGAAATGTCCAGTTTCCAGTTATAATCTGCCAATAAAGTATTGAAATGTAGCTAAATATAGCAGAGCATTTTCCCAGCTGAGGCTCATGTGAAATGCAGCAGGAGGCGGGCGATGGCTGCTGGCTGTAAGCACATCGAGGCTTTAAGGGCCGATTCTGATGTCACGTTTTCAAAACAGGACCTTTGCACACAGAGTGGGAATCTCCTGCTTGGTAAAGTTTGATTTCACTTCTCTATTTTTGAGCAAACTGAAACTAATCTGGCAGCTCAAACACTTACAGCTGATCTCACTTTTCACTTTGCCTCTGCTGTGTGTGATTTCCCATAAAAAGAGCGAGGTGTCAGAACCATCGCAAACCATTTGAACCATTTCAGTTTCAGACTGTAATGCTACAGTGCTGTATATAATAAGAAAAATTGTCGATATTGATCATAAATCTGATGGAAATGTCAGTGATCTCTTTCTTTTCATACAGTTCCTCCAGGAATCCACACATTTAACAGTTTAAATGGTGGTAAAGTCTTCGGGTTGTGCTTGTTTATGATAATAAAGCTGTTTGTTTTGGTTTTGTCCACATAGGCCTCGGTAACATGACTAAGTTCCACCAATCAAACGGCGTCATGTCACATGACCATACACACAAAGAACGAAGCTCAGAGATCAAAATTGAGCAAAAAAGAAATCACTGGTTCTCCCTCTGCCCTTTTTAAACTCTGACATAAATCTGTCTGTGATGATACATTACAGACGGATTACAACTGATTCTTTCTAAATCTGCTCTCATTTTGATTGAATGAGCTCTATTATATCAGAAATGACAAAAAAAGAGTAAAAAATATAAGTCATTGAGTTGAAAACTCCTAAAAATGTACACTATATTGCCAAAAGTATTTGCTCACCCATCCAAATTATCGGAATCAGGTGTTCCAATCACTTCCATGGCCACAGGTGTATAAATTCAAGCACCTAGGCATGCAGACTGTTTTTACAAACATTTGTGAAAGAATGGGTCGCTCTCAGGAGCTCAGTGAATTCCAGCGTGGAACTGTGATAGGATGCCACCTGTGCAACAAATCCAGTCGTGAAATTTCCTCGCTCCTAAATATTCCACAGTCAACTGTCAGCTGTATTATAAGAAAATGGAAGTGTTTGGGAACGACAGCAACTCAGCCACGAAGTGGTAGGCCACGTAAACTGACGGAGCGGGGTCAGCGGATGCTGACGCGCATAGTGCGAAGAGGTCGCCAACTTTCTGCAGAGTCAATCACTACAGACCTCCAAACTTCATGTGGCCTTCAGATTAGCTCAAGAACAGTGCGCAGAGAGCTTCATGGAATGGGTCCATGGTCGAGCAGCTGCATCCAAGCCATACATCACCAAGTGCAATGCAAAGCGTCGGATGCGGTGGTGTAAAGCACGCCGCCACTGGACTCTAGAGCAGTGGAGACGCGTTCTCTGGAGTGACGAATCGCGCTTCTCCATCTGGCAATCTGATGGACGGGTCTGGGTTTGGCGGTTGCCAGGAGAACGGTACTTGTCTGACTGCATTGTGCCAAGTGTAAAGTTTGGTGGAGGGGGGATTATGGTGTGGGGTTGTTTTTCAGGAGCTGGGCTTGGCCCCTTAGTTCCAGTGAAAGGAACTCTGAATGCTTCAGCATACCAAGACATTTTGGACAATTCCATGCTCCCAACTTTGTGGGAACAGTTTGGAGCTGGCCCCTTCCTCTTCCAACATGACTGTGCACCAGTGCACAAAGCAAGGTCCATAAAGACATGGATGACAGAGTCTGGTGTGGATGAACTTGACTGGCCTGCACAGAGTCCTGACCTCAACCCGATAGAACACCTTTGGGATGAATTAGAGCGGAGACTGAGAGCCAGGCCTTCTCGTCCAACATCAGTGTGCGACCTCACAAATGCGCTTCTGGAAGAATGGTCAAAAATTCCCATAAACACACTCCTAAACCTTGTGGACAGCCTTCCCAGAAGAGTTGAAGCTGTTCTAGCTGCAAAGGGTGGACCGACGTCATATTGAACCCTATGGATTAGGAACGGGATGTCACTTAAGCTCATATGTGAGTCAAGGCAGGTGAGCAAATACTTTTGGCAATATAGTGTATGTTTATACTATAATTTTTGCTTTATAAGCATTAAAAACAGAACTGAGCTGACAGCAGGAGGCCGTAAATTTACCAGAATCTATTGTTTTAGTCTTTCAACTTGTTATGTCTCTACTTTTTTACCCTTCGAGGCATTTTTTGCATGAATGCTCTTTACATCTAACATTATTCCAAACTGATTATTTCACCCTGCTCTTGGTATCGTGTGAAGGGAGCAGAGCAGAGCTCCTCCAGGGCCGCTGCCCTGCAGGTTTGGGATGTTTCCCTGCTGATTCTGATCAAAGTGAACTCTTTAGAGATTGCTTAGCGATGCTGATGCTGCACTGAAACACCAGAGACCTGCAGGGCAGCGGCTCTCCAGGCAGGAGTTTGACCCCCCCGGGTTAAAGGGGGGCAGTAGTGAAGCTACACCGTGAGGCCGGAGGGAAAACCGGCTCGGGCCCCAATGCCATACGGCTCCTCTTCTGGAGGAAGAGCGTATCCATGGCAACGCGCCAGCAGTGCGATTCCCCCCTCTTCCTCGAAAGGCCGATAAGAGCTGGCTGGAGCCGCCCCGTCTCCGGTGGCCGAGCGTCTGGAGCTCCCACACAAAGAAGCTCCCGGCTGCTGCTCGTCTTTGAGTTTTTATCTCCCACAAACGCGAGCGTAAAGAGCGGGGCGACACCCGCCGACGCCACACGCCGTGAGTCACAGCTTACACACAGCGTTGGGGGGGAGCCATCAATACTCATACCTCAGGGGAAAAAAAGCTATTTTTTCCACTCTGGAAAAGAGAAAGTGAAGGAACCTGCACGAGCCGGCAAATCGCAGCCGTCCTCCAACTGACGTCTGGCAGCTCAAAGTTGGCATGGAAACAAGCAGCGAGCGCACGGCGAACCCCACCACCTCCAACTCTCAGAGCCAGAGCGCCTTCATTCCACCATCTGATGTTTGCAACGTCTGCACACACACCGATTTCCAGCAATAACTCGCTATAGCCATGACTTCTGCAGAAGGAGTGAACATGAACCAGCTCTGAGCTGCTTCCTCCTCCATCATGAAGCCTCTCCAGCAGCACCATTCCAACTCTTCTTCTCTTTTCCCTTTGACTCCAAACCTCAGTGAAACCTGATTCCAGCCTTAGCTCAAAATGCTTTTCAGACCCTTTTTGGGACATTTTTTTTCTCCTGCTCTAAACCGAGAACACAAATATCGAGTCGGCCGTTTTCTTGAATAATCAGCTTTTATGAAGAAAATCTCTCAACAACAAACTTCTACTTTTTTTAGCGATTCTCCAATAAAAACCTGCTGTTCTTCAAGAAAAAGCGACACCACCCACATGTCATGACCTGTTGAGCAGACAGATGGATTACAGCTAAGCTTTTAAAGCTAAAGGTGCGGGGCAGGAATCCAGCAAAAGATACCGGCTATACCTCCATCCTGGCTCATCCCTTGAGTTAGGGGCTTTTTTTCCTGCCTGAATGGTTCACAAATAAGCCAAGATCAGCACAGCATAGCTAGTTGGATCATTTCTGGCTCGTTTTCTGGAATCCGAGGGCAGAAAATGGAGCCCTGCCCGGCTCAGAGCAGAGGATAGGCGGCTCCTCCCCCCTCCTCCTCGGCCGTCCGGCCTCCTGCTGGGCGACCGGCAGACTTACCGGTTCCCGGGCGGCCCATGATGATCTGCTTGCGTGGCGCCGGGTGTGGCGAGTCGGCCGGCAGGATGAGCGGCAGCAGCGCTGTCGGCGTGGGGTGGCACGCCACCGGCTGAGGCAGCGCCCCCCCAGAGGCGTCCTGGTGCCCCTCCGGCTTCCTCTCCCGGCCCCCAGAACCAGAGGAGGCCATGATGGAGCCGGGGGGCGCCGCCATTGACCCCGGGGTGGAGGGGCTGGAGAGGGAGGCGTGGCCGGCCGGCGCCGGGGTCAGAGACTGAGAGGAGGAAAAGTGGAGTTATTAAGCCCATCAGACACTATTATTACTTCTTGTTAATTTATTATCTTTTTGGTTATTTATGGTTGTTTATCATCATTCATTATGAGCTATTATCATTTGTTGTTATTTCTATTATGTAAAAGTATTTATTATTTATTATTCCATATATATTTTATCTATTGTTTTTATTGTTTATAATCATTCATTATGATCTATTGTCATCTGTTATTTTTTGTTATTATAGTTTAATTATTGCTTATTATTTATTATTATTGCTTATAATTATTAAGTATTGCTTATTATTCATTATAATCTTATTTTTTGGTATTTATTCTGGTTTATTCCTTATTATAATGCATTACCTTGTTGTTTGTTCTTTTTTTATTATCATTCATTATGATCTATTATAATTTATTGTTATTCATTATCATTATGTATTAATATATTTATTGTTGCTAATCATCTATAGTTATTTATTATAATTCGTTATTCATTATTATGTTTTATTATTGTTGATAATATGAAATAAATTGTTCATGTAGCATGAAAATGAGCCATTAGGAAGTCTGATGACTGGAGTAGAGTTTGTGATTTAAATCATATTAATTAAATTGAAATCTGTGGTTGAATGTGTCATTTTTGTTATTGCTTCTTATCTGTTATTATTTTGTTGGTGTTTATTATTCTTCATGTTATTCATTATGAACTATCATTTGTTTGTTTGTCATGTATTAATATTTGTTATTTGTGTGGTTTTCTGGCTCTAAGCAGCAGCAGACTGAGCGTTGGTGGGCTCACCGAGCTGGACGTGACCAGCACCAGGGTGGGGGCGGGGCTTCGCAGCAGCACCGCCCCGTTGGTGGCGGCGCCGTTGATGGGGACGGGCGCCTGCAGGCCGGGGGGGCCGGCGTGCGGCGGCTGGCTGTGCTCCCGCGACCGGCTCCTCTCCCTCCTCGCCATCGGCCCGTCGGAGAACTTGGCCAGCGGCACGTCGGGGTTCCGCACGATGACCGGCGAGTCGCGCAGCGGCACGATGCGGCGAGGGGAGGGCTCCTGGGGCAGCGGCGAGGGCGGCGTGGGCGACACCAGCATGGGGGGCGGCGTGGAGGCGGCGGAGGACGGCGGCCTGCTGGTGGCGCTGCGGGGCCGGGGGAAGGACAGCGAGGAGGGCGTGGCCGGCTGGCTCTGCGGGGACAACACCCTGAAGGGGGCGGGGTCTCCCACCAGCCCGCCGCCGACCCCCATCAGCGGCGGCTCGCCCTTGGGGGGGTAGTCCTGCATGGCGGGCAGCGGGGGGGGCGGGTGGCCGTCCAGCTTCCTCTTGCTGGGGCTCATGGGGACGGTGAAGGTGAGGTTGGTCTGGAAGGAGGGCACGATGCCCGACAGGTGGCGCTCGCGGTCGGCGGCGGCGCCCGGCGTGCCCATCTTGGTCCCGCTGAGCTGGCGGCTGCGGCGGGGGGCGAGCGAGGGGGGGGCGGTGATGGGGCTGAAGTTGGCGGGCCGGAAGCCGAAGAGCGGCGAAGGGGAGGGCGAGGGCGTGGGCGAGAAGGGCGACTGGTTGGAGATGGGCGAGAAGGACGGCGTGCCGGAGCGCGAGCCGCCCAGCGACACCAGCATGGTGGCCGCCTCGCACTCGTCGAAGTCGAAGCGGCTGAGGTCCTGCGGCAGCAGCGACGGCAGCACCAGCCGCGGCCGCGAGTCGCCGCCGCGGCTGCTGGCCTCGCTGCTCTCCCGCGACGTCTCGTCCCAGTCGAACTCGGAGCTGGCGCGCCCGCCGGCGCCGCCCAGCCGCAGGTCGGAGGGCGTCAGCGTGCCGGTGCTGCCGGCGCCGCCCCGCTCGCGCCCGCCGCCGGCCTCCATCTCCTTAGTGCGCATGGACAGGTGGCGCGAGCAGTAGCCGCGGCGCTGGGACTCCTTGGAGCAGCCCTCCCGCGAGCACAGCCGCCGCCACTGCTTGCCGTTGAACTTCTTGCGGATGCCGGTCGGCGTGCAGACCACGTCGCCCTTCTTGTACTTCTGCTGGGCCGCCGTGAGCGGCGTGCGGGAGCGGGAGGAGGAGCCCGAGCCGCCGCCGCCCCCGCCACCGGCCGCCGCCCCCCCGGAGGCCTTCTCTGCCCGGGGGGAGGAGGTGGGAGGCAGGGGGGGGAGCTGCGGGGTGCCGATGACGGCGCCGGCCGGGTCCATCCCCAGCAGGACGGGCGACGGCGGCGGGTGGGGGTTGAGCGCCAGGTGGGCGGGCGGGACGCCGATGCCGCGCACCACGGACAGGTGGGAGTTCAGGTAGCCGGTAGGCGGCTTGGACACGATGTGGCGGTGCTGGGGGGCGGCCATGTTTTTGGCGCCGGGCATGAGCGCGCCCATGGGCACCATGTTGAAGTGGGACACCTCCATGTCCTCCTCGGGGGTGAGCGGCATGTAGGGGTGGTGCTGCTGCACGCCGCCGCCGGCGTCCCGCTGCCTCAGCTCCCGCTCCCACTCGCGGCCCGGCGCCAGGCTGAGCACCGACACCGGCGTGACAGGGGACGCCACGCTGTGGGCCACCGCCGCCGAGACGGGCACCATCCCCGCGTAGGACACGCCCCTCGCCAGCGCCGGCGCCATTCCCCGGCTCAGGCGGCACACCTCCTGCTCCACCTCCAGCTCCTCCCTCTCCTCCCGCTTGTCCTGCTGGTCCCGCGCCTCCTCGCCGCCGCCGCCGCCCGAGGGCAGGTCCAGGTCCCACGGCGGCACCAGCAGCCGCAGCGTCTGCCGGGACACCCACACGGCCTGGGTGGCGTCCTGGGCGGCGTCTTGGGCGGCGTCCTGGGCGGCGTGCGGCTCGGACAGCAGCACCCGGTAGCGGTTGGCCACGGCCGGGTGCGAGTCCACCTGGGTCACCAGGCCCTCCCGGTACCACTGGCCCTCGGCGCCGTCCTGGCGGCCGAACGGCACGCAGACCCGGCTCCCGATGGGGATGGCGTGCACGCCGGGCGGCGGCGCGTCCAGGACGATGTCCACCACGCCCGGCGGGCTGCGCCGGTAGGGGTAGCGGCAGAGCGTCTTCTCGCCGTTCAGCTGCACCTCCAGGCTGCCCGACTCGCCGCTCACTCTGCGGACCACGCCGGCCCGGAACAGCAGGTCGGGCGCCGCCGCTTGGCCACCGCCGCCGCCGTCCCGTCTCCGGAACTGGCGGGCGAGCACGCGCTGGTTCTTCAGGCCTTTGGCGAGGGCGTCGGACAGGGCGTCGGGGAGGCCGGCGGCGGCGGCCAGCTCGGGCGGCTGAGCGGCGCCGTGCGGCTCGCCGACCACCTCCAGGTCGGCCGAGTGCTCGCTGGCGGTGTCGGTGGAGGAGCAGCGGGGCAGCGGGCTGGGGGAAGCTGGCTCCGCCCCCCCGGGCAGCAGGGTGGGGGGGCCCGGGGAGCCTCGGGGGCCCCCCCGGCCGTGGACCTCCATCAGGCTCTGGGCGCCGCCGTCACAATGTGAGGCGCCGGCGTCGACCCCTGACCCCGCCGGGTGTCCGGGGGGCGGCGGCGTGCAGCAGGGCGCGGCGTTGGCGGGCGAGCAGTGCTCGGAGGTGTACTTCTTCTTGGGGACGCGGGCCTTGAAGGTGGCGGTCTTCCTGCTGGCGGCGGGGTTGGGGCTGCTGTTGGCGCTCGGCGTGCTGCTGCTGCTGCTGTCGCCGCCGCTCGGTGGCGCCCGGCCCGGTCGCTCGTCTACCGGTCGCTCGTCTGCTGGCCCCTCCCCCTCCGAGGCGTCCCTTCCCCTCGCCGCGTCCGGCTGGGAGGACTCGGACTGCGAGCTGGACGGCGTGCGGCTGGGCGGCGAGCGGCTCCCGTCTCTGCTGTCGTCGGAGTCTCGCTTCTCGCCGCCGTCGGGGGCGTCGCCGCCCACCCGCCGCTTGCCCCCCTTGGCGCGGGTGGAGGGCGGCGAGCGGCGGCCCTGCTTCTTTATGGGCTTCATCTTCTCATGGAGTGGCCTCCCGCCGGCTGCTGGTGTCTGTGTGGCCGTGGCTCTGCTTCCTGCTGGCTCCGCCTCACTCTGCCCCGCCGCCGCTCATCCTGTCGGGCCGTCCTCCACACACTCTGAAAGACACAGAAAAAAGGAGGCTGACTTTCGGCGGGCCGGACAGCGGGCCGAGCACCTGTTGGACGGGAGCTGAGCGGCGGCTTTGCTGCCTTACGTAAGCGGCTGTTACACAAGGCCTGCATCCAGAAAACAGCAGGCCGCTGCTGTCTGTAAACAGCAGGCTCACTACACAGCATGGAAATAGTGAGGAGTGCTTTGCAATTTGCCCAGACAAGCCTCTCTGCAAGCACTCACTCACACACACACGCACACACTCACACACACTCTAGAGGCGGGGGAATTCCTCCGTCTCCGCTGCGTACTGAAACCCTCCCTTTCTCTCTCTCGGCCGACCTTTATCTGTGTATTTCAAAGCGGAGCCAATCCGCCCCTTCGAACTCCATTTCCTGTGGAAGACCATTACCTAACTTCCCGTTACTTTATTCCTCCCTCTCTCTTCCCTTCTGATATTGATTCGTTTCCTCCCTTTTGCCCCCCCCCCCGGCTGCGCTCACCTGCCACTTTGTGCCGCAGTCGTCCAGAAAAAGCGCAATACAGAACAACCACTACATACGAATTGAACTCGTCCCAGGACCTACTTTGTATGTTAAAATATTGGTATGTTGGTTCAAATATTCCCATCAGAATACACTGTAATTTAATTTGCTCCACAGGCCAAAAACCTATGATAACTCCTTAATAAATACTGCAGATAATTACACATAGCAATTAAACAAATGCATTATATAAGAGAGATGTAAAAAGAAATAAATCATAAAGAAATAATAAATAAAAAGGTTTTTTTATTGGCAGGTGGAGACTGAGATACAGCTCGTACCCTAACTTACTTTAACTTTCACTACCTGACCTTAGCTTATTTATTTATTTTCTATGACTTGGACGTATGTTGGAAATTTACTTTAGGTGTCGAGTCAAATATTTGATTGAATTTCAGTTCAGATGTTGGAAAATTGGTATGTGTAGGCGCCCGTAAGCAGAGCTTCTGCTGTAACTGTCATCCCGCTCCAGATTCATTCAGAGCCGGAGTAAAAAAAACAAAAAAAACATTGATTCTGCTGACTCGCTGAGCGTTTGTTGTCTGACTCGGGCGGCCTCGGGTCACGAGCGTCCGACTGAGCCGGCGGGAGACGCGCGTTTCTGCCGCCTGGCCACGGCGGATCGGCGCCGCTGGCGTCCGTCCTCCCACCACTCTGCCTCTGAAGGCTGCCATTCACTCTGCTCCTTTTAATATCTGCCATCATATCGGCAGCAGACAAACCTGCTTCCAGACGGGCGCTGCGTCCGGAGCCTCCCGCCGCTGATAGCGCTCCGTGTAAATCCTAATTTGGGACGTGAAGCCATTTGGCAGCTGGCCTTACTTGGTCACGGTGGAGGTGTGCTGTGTGTTTACAACAGCTGGTGTCAGAGCCGCTGATAACGGCGGCAACGCGGAGCGGGAGCCGCTTTCCCGTCAAAGAGCCGCCTGACGCGCTCAGCCAGCTCACATTTGTAGGAAGTGAACTGACATGAAAACATGGGAAACAGCAGCGTGGGCAGCTGATACACACAGGAGACCAAGAACCTGTGAACAGCTCCAGTTCTCCATGTAATTCACCCTCATGTCACCCAGCAGGAAGGTGTTAAAGGCCTGAATGAAAACAGAGCCCAGTTCTGATTATTTCAGTTTGTGGGGTCTAATTTAGCCTCTCCAGGAGCAGCTCCTCTCTGTGGGGAGTCTTCAAGAGCAGCTCTCCAGCTTCTTGAAGGACGTCCCAAAGGACTCTGTCAGATGATCCCACACTGCTTCATGATGTGGAGCTCCGGCTCTGGAGGATCCATCCCTCCATCGGAGCTGCTGGGGTTCAGTCCACTTCTGGTTCCTCTGGCAGAGCTCGCCCTTTCCTCCCTGTTTCCTTCCTTCAGAGGGGCCTCTTGACAGCCCCCCTTCATGGAGAGCATTTCTGATGAGGCCACCAGGAGACGGTCAGCTGGAGGTCCAGATGCAGCTCTCAGCTCCCGTTCAGCTCTCTGCTGGACCTGCTCCTCTTTACCTTTCAGATCCTCTTCATCTGCTGGAGATCGGTTTTTAGGCCCAACTATTCTTCTCTTTGACTCCAAACCTCAGTGAAACCTGATTCCAGCTTTGGTTCAAAATGCTTTTCGACCCGTTTTAGTGAATTTTCTCTCCCCTGCTCTAAATTTAGGCCTCAGTGGATGCCCGGCCCACATGGAGTTTCGTTGGGTCGGATGCTGAGGCAGCATTTCTCCTGGTGCCTTCATGAACACATCAGGCTTGTTGGTAAAGCGAGCGTCAACGGGTCAGATGTGTGATGACGCGTCTCTGGTGACAGCCTGCTGCTAACAAAGATACTAAAGATCCACTTCAATCTGCTGCATGGACACAATGGCTCATCCCTTGAGTTAGGGACCTTTTTTCTGCCTGAATGATTTGTAGTTCAGAGTTAAGAGAGAAAAAAACATCTGAAAATGCTCAGCTACAAGGACTGAAAATGAGAGAAGAAGCAGAAAATGTCCACAGAAAAACTGTGAGAACTATTGCAGAGGAAGAAGATTAAAGAAAGGACAGAAATGACAGACTTTTATATCAATATCTGTGTTTTTGTGTGTATATTAACATCTTATCTGTGGATAAACACTATTAGAACGGGACCTGCTTTGTAAACCCAACCATGCGTGACAGCTGTTCTGTAATCAGCTTCTCCAGCTGACTTCTAAGTTTCCTGCCTCAGACTTTTCTGTATGGAAACACAGTGTTCAGCAGCATACAGGCCCAGTGAAGCCTCCCACCGGCCCGGGCTGACGGGAGCCTTCAAGCCTGCGCGTTAAAACGCGTCCGGCGCTGCTCTCACCGGCCCGGCGCCTCCTCTGAGTTCATAACAGGATTAGGGCGCTGTGCGCAGCAAGTTGGGTGAATAAACGGGTGCATTAGTCATGAGCCGCAGATAACAGCTGCTAACTTTATCTGCAGCAGGCCCGGAGCACGCAGGCGGCGGGTGTCGTCACCTTTAGCCGGATGGTGCCGTGTCGAGCCCTCGTAGTACAACGATTACTACCAGTTTTACTCCACGACACCGCAGGCCGTGCTGTGGAGCCACCAGGCCGCGGGCGCGCACGCAAGGCCGCTTGGAGATCCTTTCTCCGAGGCGGAACCGGGAAATAACCGGGTTTACCGTGCACGCCGACGACTGACAACCACCCCAACCTTCCCGGGGCCCGTGGTCCCTGCCCTGCGTGGCGGCGTCAAATATCCCCACGGAGATAAATCCGTTTTGGGGGGGAGAAAGTCGCAGTTTGAGCCGCTTTGGGAAGCGACAGGGGTCGTAAAGTACAGCCCGAGCCGCCCGGGGGGCAACTTTCTACTGACCCTGGCCGGTTTCCACGACCGCAAACAAGCCGAGGGGGGAAAGTGTCAATAAGCTGCCACAAACTAGTCGCAGACGAAGGCCCGCGGAGGAGCCTCACGTCCACCCGGCCGTCACGCAAAGCCACGGCCGGGCACGGAAAAGAGGAAGAAATGTGTCTGCACGGGGATGAAGAGGAGCGACGGCTCGTGACGAGCTGTCGCGAGCTCCACACGTCGAGAGAAAAACAGATTGAGGGAAGTCCAGCCGCGGTTATGGCGTTGGGTTTATTTTCTAGTGGAAAAGTTTCGGGCTCTCGGCGGTTGGCCGCACCGCTCCCCTTTTTTCCCCTCGCCTTCCGCCCCTCTCGGTCGGTCGGTCGGTCGGCCGGACGTCGCGGACCGACCCCGACCGGAGGAGCCGCTGACACCGCCGGCGGGCCACGGTAAACACGGGCGGCGTTAGCGGCTCGGCCACGGAGCAGCGAGCCCCACCGCAGCGCTGCGGGAGCGGGTCCGGAGGCAGCAGCCAAACTCACCGGAGCTAAAGCGGAGCCCCCGGGGCCGTTCCTCCGATCCGTCCGCCGGGTAAAATAGGGCACGGTGGCCGGTCGTCCTTAGCTGCCGGTTAACGGCCGGTCATGTTTCTCCGGCAAAGCAACTTAGAGGGAGGAAAAACTACTGCCCTGTACATTCTACACTACAGTCGCAAAATGGTGAATGAAGCCCCAAAGCCTTGACAACCAGGCCGCGCGGCCAATGGCGGAGCACGAACGCTTACAGTAGCCAATGGGAACACGCGGAGACGGGGCGGAGGCGGGGCTTCGTGTCAAAGTGGATTTGACAGACGTGGTGGAGCGGCCAATCACAGTGTGGGAAAACACAGAACAGCTGTTGGAAGAGCGATGTCGCGGCGGCCAATGGGAGCGCAGTGTGGGGATGTCTGCCACTTTATTCAGGCACGCAGGGCAGGAATCAAACCTTCCTCTCATTTTTCTGTCCAGTTGTCACCCCCTGTTCGTCCTTCTGCAGAAAAATTAAGCTCTCGTTAATGTCTAAACGGAGTTTTGAAGCGGCGTCACTACGTTTTAAACGCGTGAAACGCAAACGTCAGCTCAAAAACAGCCTCACGCGGTCAGTTTGCTCTTATAAAACAGCTCTGGCGACGCCAAATAACTCTCCTCGAGCTATTCGAGCGTCTCTGTGCTTCAATCTGAAGCTCGACTGAGCCACAGGTGAAGTGTAGTTTCACCAAAAAAACACCAACTCCCAAATTCTCCTGTTCTTTCTCAGTTCATCCTTCTCCCAAACTCGCTCACCTCTTAGTCCCGCCTCCTCAGCCAATCGGAGCCGCCGCTGGAGGCTATACATCACCAGAGCGGCCTGTGATTGGTCCACACGCTGAAGGTCTGCAGGCCAATGACCGTGTGCTGCGGTGAGGTCATTATGCTTGTTGCCATCATCCTGCCCAAACAGGAAGAGTGAAACCCCCGTGAGTAAGTTGAGAGTGGGACGCCTGCCCCAGAGAGGGTGACACATTTCCCCCGTGCCCCCCCCACCGAGGAGTAAAACGCTAAAAACACCCGTGAACACACACACAGAGTCATCCTCCCCAGGTCTGAGGAGGTGCTAATGGCCTGTTTCTGTAGCTCACAGGCCCACATGGTGGGTTTGGTTGATGTTGACACACAGCTGGCTGGTTGCAGGGTGGCAGCAACCACACACACACACACACACACACGCACACTTAGAGCTGAGTTCAGCCATGCTTTAGCTTACATAAGCGTTGCAGCCTGTTGGAGCATGCAAACACAGCTTGTGCCGCCTTATGGTGGCGTCCCTGTGCACAACTCCTGTCATTAAACGTGCAAAAATATAAAACGTTCTGGCTCCACACGCGTGAAACCAGAGCTCGACCTCTTCCTCATCTACAAACGAGGGGCGCCTGGTTTCAGAGAGGCTGCAGAGCGAGGGACGGAAACGGGAGGCGTGGAGAGCAGAAAGGAAAAGGGGAAGTGAGACGGACGGAGGAGCGACTGGAGCTACAGACTGTTGGTGAATGAGCTCCATGAGCCAGCCGGTGGGAGCTCGTTCTCAGAATGAGGAGGAGAGCCCCCCCGATCCCAGTCACTGATCAGGGCCACAGCTCTCCAACTGGCTCTACTTCGAGGGCCTGTGTGTAAAGAGGATCCGGCCTCTCCCCTCCCAGCCGGTTTCTGTGCTTAATAGATGTGAGGTGGACTCAACAGCCTGCACTCGCTCACCCACAGACAGAGCTGCCGTAATCACCCACAAGAGCCTAGAGAAGCTTCAACAAGCCTGTAGTGCTCATCCGTATCGCTTTTTAAATGGAAACACTGTGGATGACTAACCTCAGAACAAACGTGGGGCCAAACGGGATCATAAAAGTCCCATTTTACAGTCCAATCGCACACGTTTATCGTATCGGCAGAGCTGATCCTGTTCTGACCTGAGGCTCAAAAACAAAGATATATATTACAGTGTTTTTTTGTTTTTTCTACCTTTGAGACAGTGTGAGACAAAAAGCAGAAGCAGTGTGTGAAAAATGAAGCAAAAACGAGTCCGACCTCGCTGCTTCTGCAGGAATTCAGCGGAAGGTCGGCGAGTTTGCTGCTCTGGGAAGGGACACAAGGTCATTTCCAAACTATTTTCAAATCCACTCAGTCACAGAAAGAAAGGTTAAAAAGTGGAAAACCTTCAGGACAACTGGTGTCATCCCCCCAGAAAATCCAGGGGCTGCCTCCCAGACTTTCCAGGCCTCAGTCAGCAGCTTAAAGGTTAAAGGTCATCACAGATAGAGAAAGACTAAGAAAGAGCGTCTTGTTTGTTTGGGCTGCAGCAAAAAGCCTCTCCTCTGGAAAAAAAGCTGCCTCATCTCAGAAACGTCGGCGGGTATTTGTCACATTTTCTGATGAGTAATCGATGCTTTCGTTTAACCCTAAACTAATAACGCCGCTTTTGACATGCAGGATGTCATGTAGGGAAATTGTTACTCATCGTTTGATGCAACTGGGCTTATAGGAAGATTACGAATGACTTGTGATGCTGAGTCAGCAGGAACGACATCAAAGCAGCATTCTTATTATGAGGGGAGCAGATATTTATTTGGTCTGATAGGTGAGCAGATGAGATAAGTTAATATAAAAGATAAGACGAAAGATAAGATGAAAGATAAGATAAAATAAGATGAAAGATGAGATAAAATAAGATGAAAGATAACATAGAATAAGATAAAAGGCAAGATATGATAAATAAGAGATAGATAAGTTAAGTTAGGATATAAGATAAGATGAAAGATAAGATGAAATAAGATAAAAGATAAGATAGGATAAGTTAGAGAGATCTGCTGCGTGTTCTTGCTTTTTCCAGCAGATGGCGCTGCTTCCTGTCATTTCACTGCTTGTCTACCAGGACTTATCTGTTGCTTTCATTCTTTCCATAAACTTAAAAATTATTCAAAATTATTTCAAATGTATTCCAAACACAAATGTATTTTTCTGATCCATAGTCAACTTTCAGTCAGGCAGTTTTTAGTTAAACAGAAGGATCATGCTTAATTTTACCCATTTTTAAAGAAAATATGCAATTTCCATCTGAGCAGTATGAGTTTTTTATCCATTACTAACGGGAAGGATGACGTCCCTCCTTCATTCTCTGAGCGTGAACCAACCCAGCTGCTGGCGCCCCCCCCCCCCCCCCACGATTCTCCCAGATAATCGGTCCATGTTACAGAAGAGGCTCAATGAGCCACGAGCACAATCGCTTCTTCTTCTTCTCCTGCCAGCTCTGATCCTCCACACAAGCTCCCACTGACTGAGCCGGTCCTTTATTTACACACTTCTTTGGGTAATCTGAAGTTATTTTTCAGGCACATCATTTTTAAGCCCCTAACAAACATTTTAATCAACACTTTATTAATATTTCCCTTTTTTTTTTACCTTGAGTTCCCTTTTAACAATCAAAGCAATAAATAATCTTGTTTAGCAACAGGCATCGGTCGCGTTTTTTTTGTCTTGATTGAGTTTTAAAGACATCACAGTTTTTTTCTTATCTACTTTTAAACCTCCAAACTGTTCCTGAACAGTTCTGCAGCTTTCTGAAGCTCTTTCTAATTTCCCTTTGGACAGTTTCTGCTATTTCTCTCATTTTCCGTCCAGTCTTTCCGGGAATAAAAAGCCCTTAACTCAAGGGATGGGCCAATCAGCAGAAGCCTGTCACAAAGACACATCAGTTTTATGGATACATAAACAAAAACTACGTCTTTAACTATAAGCCACCCATAATTTATTCTATTATTTTCATATTTGATACTTTTCTTTTTTAATTTAGGTGTAAAATAAACCTTCATATTTATTTTTGCCTTTAAATTAATTGTGTGTTAATGAATTTGTAGCATTTAATGGTTTGTTTCCCTTCATATAAATACAGATATCTAAAGTTTCTCACACAGATTAAGAGTAAAAAGGTCTATAGGTTTCACTGAAAGGTAAGGGGGGCTTCCCAGCGGGACTCCTGCCACAAAACATGATAATTAGCCCTCTGTTGTGATCTGGCTCCTCTGGCTGGGTCGGCGGGCCGCGACCTTTGACCTCGGCCCCTGCCCAGACAACAATCCCACTCGGCTGGGGGCCACAGCGCACGTCAGTCGGCTTCCCTTCTCATGCGGAGGAGGAGGGCCGGGGGGGGAAGCCGAGGATGATGATTAACAGGATTCCCGCAGAGGGAAAACAATAAGAGATGCAGATAGCAGCAGACAGCGCCGAGGACGAGGTGGTCGAACAGAAAGGTGAAGAGGTGGAAACGTGCCAAACGAGGGGCCGTTTCTACATAAGATCAAAGGTAAACAGAAAAAAAAGAAAGTGGATTCTTCTTTAAGGCATTACTCTGTAATAACTCTACAATAAAGACTTAGATCTCAGTGTTTTCATTTAGACTTTCACTGATTTCCATATAAACTGAGATCCCTGATGCCATAAAAACAACCTGAACTTAATAATTAAAGAATATTTTTTGTGACCATTTGCCTTTTGGACGAGTTCAAAGTGAAAGATTGCAAATTGTTAAAATCAAAATTGAATGAGTTTTTTTTAGTGAAAAGCTAATATGGCTTTCTTGGTCTTTTTTCAAATGAAAATCCATCAATTTTCAGCCTGAATGTGTACGAATGAATCTCGGTATGTTGATGATTCTGTAAGAAACATCTAACATCTATGTTAAACTAAGAGATTTGCTGCTTCACGCTAATTAATCTCATCATAGTAATCATCTCTGTTATCACCAGGTCACGTCAGGTGTAACTGATTGATCCGTCTGTGCATTTTAGTTTTGGTGAGCATTTTAAAATATCAAAGGCCAAAGAAATCTGAAAATATACTGTATTTTCATTACATCCAAATAACTTTCTTTGGTTTTGCACAAATTTCTTAAGGTAGAGATAATATGTACAAACCTGTGACATTTAATTGTGCAATAAAACACATTTAGCTGCTTTTCCACACTCAGTCACAAAACTAACCCAAATTGATTAAAAAACTTGATAAAAACCAACAGGACCCTTTTAAAATCCAACCGAGCAGACATTAATCTGACCTTTTTTTATGCAAAGCTGCTGCTGCGGTGTTTCCATTTCAGGATTCCAGCTTCAGATGGGAGGCAGATGTAAAAACCCCGTCTGAATTTCTGCAAATTACACAGCTGAAGTTCACAGACACAAATATTAAAGAGCCCTTTATTTTCTCTCCAGTAGCCCCCACAGTGGGACTTTCCTTTGGTCAAAGTTTCCAGACGGACGACTGATCGGTCTAGACTTAAATGTGTGTTTACATTTTTTATGTAAACAATCTTTAGGCAAACACTCAATTATAAAACCATTCTGCTTCCACAAACCACTGTTCGGTTCTCGCTGGCTCTCGCGAGAGTGTGTCGGCTTCCGGGTGTCTGAAGCTGCAGTACCGTGGGCGGACAGCAGGGGGAGGCAGCGCTCAGGCCAGTAAGGGGCTGCTTTTAAAGTGTCAATAAAACAAATAAACAGCTTCTGATGCTGCGTTTTGGATTAAGTAAGTTTTATTTAAAATATAAAGGCATAATTTAATTCTTAACTTGCATTTAGGGTTTTAAAAACATTTGATTAAAGAAGTATGAATAAAAGCCCCCAAAAAAGTAATAATTATCCCTCAGATTTACTCCTTCTGGATTTAGGCTGATAGAGATTTAACAACTGTGTGCGTGTTCAGAAGCTCTCTTCAAGGATGTGTTAATTTTTTTTTTTTACATTTTGCCAAAAGCTGGCAGCTTTCATAAATTATTTCGGGGCTCTATTAATAATCACAGTATTCTTAAGCAAGAGCTGACAGATTCCAGACGCCAAGATCTGAGAACTTTTTGGTTTTCTGGAGACTCATCTGAGTGTAGAATGAAGATAATGCTGTTTTCCAGGGGTTATATTGTGTTACCTTAGAAAAATGTGCGGTTTTGATCAGATTTTTACAGTAAGGCCGACAGGTTATTCACACGGCGATGATGAAGATGCTCGTTGGATGAAGAAAAAAGGTCCTACATTTGATTAAGTAACTATTTCTGATGAGGAAAGCCGTAATTACAACAAAAACACTGAAAGACTGACAGACTACAGCCGTGTTGCAGCCAGAGCCCAGATTTGTTTCAGAGAAGCTGTGGAAAAAAAGCTCACGACTTTTCAGGGCGGTGGGTAATTAAAACCTCCACACGGGCAGAGTCGTCATCCAGAACATAATTAGATCTGGACTAGCGGAGAGGAAGTCGTGACTAACACAGGTGAAATAAAGAAGCTGCTCGCAAGAACAGAGAAAATACAAACCACCACCAAGTAGGGCAAATGCCGGGAGTCGTCAGAGGACTTGGACACAGACCCAGGAGCTGGTTCTGTCCAGGTTTGGGGTTTCTGCTCTTCATCCTGGTGGAACATCACTACAGATCCGTCCCATCTGGGCTCAGCTGTCTGACACATGGGGACACAAAGTGAGAACGCTTAAACACAAACAGCTTTGGGCCTCGAGGAGCCGAACCGTTGCAGTTTTTTTTCTGAGGGCTCCGACTTCATTCCTGCTGAAAACCCGACTTCAGCTGCTCGTCTGCAGAGGCAAAAATAAACACAGGCGGGAGGATTTTCCAGGTTTCTAACCTCCAACCTTGCAGGTGTGATCACTTCCTGTCGAAGAAGCAGTTTAGGAACCTTGGTCTGACATTATGTGGTGCATTCAGGTGCCGGAGGAAAGCTGGGACATCTGGGGTCCAATCCAGTCTGAGAGTTCCTTCTTTTCAAAGTTCTTTCTGGTCATATTCTGTGATGGAGTTTGGATCAAAGTGGTGAACCAGAACAAAGCCTTTGATGGATGGATCATGTCACCCTCACCTGTCAGCAGGTAATCAGCTGATTGATGCTGATTAAGCTGTGAGTATTTCCTCACTGAGGCTCTGCTTCAAGGAAAAATCCAAACTAGATGGTGAGCAAACCCAGTTTCTTTTAAACAAAGTTAAAATGATTAAGAACAGTTTGAACCTAGATAATATAAAATGTTTGCGTTTTACTTCACTTTCTGAATTTAGTTAGTCTATAAGATAAAGACCAAAGCAAAAAACAAAAGTAAAAAAAATCAGGTAAATTCCAGAAGGAGAAGCAAACTCCAAAAGATTTGACAGTTTCGATCCTTCAGAAAAGTTGAAAAACTGGAAGAAAAACACAGAAACGGGTCGTTTTCACCTTTTTTTTTTAATGAACCCTGATTATTGTTTAATTACAAATGAAGATGAACAAATATAGAAGGGAAACAAGCATGATAAAACTCTGCTCCTCTGGAGAGAAACAAACCAGGAGAGGCGAGCAGAGCCGGGACAGAGACGCATGTCAAATAATACAAAGGTTTAACAGAACAACGCTCTTCTTCTTACACAGTACTCCATAATGGAAAAATATATATGTACACAACTTAAAAAAAAAAAAGAGAGGAAAACAACCACGTCTGCCCCCCCGCGGTTTGGCGTGCGGTACGACTACAAAACCAGATGAATACAAAAAGGAAGCGGCAGAGTGCAAACCGGAGCAGGAACTGAGAACGAGGACGAACAACGGCTGTGTTAGTAGGGCAATAGCTAGAGTAACAGTAATATGTGGCCTGGGGGGGGCAGGTGTGGCGGCCCAGAACAAGCCGGGCCTCAGACTGGGTGGAGGATCCCTGGTCAAACCCCCTCACTGGCCTCAGACCAGGCCCCCCCCCACAGCCCTGCAGCCTGGGGGCAGGTCGGGGTTAAAAGGCGGCTGCAAACTCTTTAGATGGCGGCGTGCAGGGTAAAGGTGGCCTGACCCCGCCCCCTTTAACCCCCCCCCTCTCTGCGCCAAAGCACGACTGCGGGTTTTTCTTCTCATTGAATAAATATCGACCTCCGACGGCGGCGGCTTTTGTCAAAAAGGCAAAAGAGTGAGAAGGCAAAGGAGTAAATATATACAGATTTTAGCATTAAAAATAGGATTTTCCTGATTTGTATCAAATGACCACATTGAAATATAATATTTGAGTTCATATATATTTGAATAAAATATATATATGTGTAGATCTGCTTAATCTGAGCTTCTCTTATAAAAGCTGAAGGCATGGTGGTTTAGTTTGGGGGGCGTCTGGACAAAGTCATTACAAAAAGGCACATCTCATTTACAGCTGTCCAATAAAACGGGCTTCTCTCTGTTTATGTTTTCGGTTAAATGTCACAAAAATATGTTTTTTTTCTTCTTAAATCTCAGGTGAGTTTGTTTCCGTCTTTAAAAGCATCACTTGAGCCCATTTGTTTGTTTGGTGATCACATCCAAAGTACAGAAGGCTCTCTGATCACTGCAAATGCCCTAAAATACTGTCCCCGGGGGGGAAAGTGTCCCTCGGCTGGACAGAGAAACACCAACCGATCTACTGCTGCCCCCAGACCCTCAGAGGCCTGGGGGGTCACCCCCCCCCCCCATCAGAGGCTTCAGGAGCTGCTTCCTCTGAATCCAGCTGCACAGAGAGGAATAAAATACTGTCTGAGACGCCTCTCGGTGGGTTCCTGTCTCGTCCTCTCCTGTCTGAGTCCCAGAGGAGGAGGAGGTGTCATGGTGTCCCAGAGGAGGACAAAACAGATTCAAATGCTGAGGAGGAAACAGGGAAACCCCTCTTTGATCTTTTTCTTTGCTCCTCTGGGGTCTGTTGGGCTTCTGGGTCCTCATAACATCCTGATCCAAACGGGCTTTCAGCAGCTCGGACCTGAACGTTACATTTTTGTCTCTTAGTGTTAAAATCTGGGGCCCCTCGGAGGCGGCGCCCGACGCCGGAGCCCGCTTTGCTCGCCACCGCCCGGCGAACAAGGCCACGTGCAGGAAAATGGTCGGTGGAGGGGCGGCAAAGATGGCCGCCAGCCACCACCAGGCCATTAAAGATGGCCGCCAGGGCCACCTGGCCAGCAAAGATGGCCGCTGGTGCCTCCTGGCTGCCAAACATTCCTGCACGCCACCTGGAGGCGCGTCCACGGTGGCGCCTGGCGGGCGGCGCTCAGCAGCCCGGGTTCTCCAGGGACAGCTGGGCCGTGGCCCGCTGCAGCTCTGAGCTCGCCCTGCGTTTGGTCGGCGCCGGCGGCAGCATCAGCCCCAGGATGACTCCGCCTCCCCGGCCCCCCTCCTCCTCCCCCTCCGCCCTGACCTTTTTGTCCTCGGCCTCTTCGCGCTCGCCGTCCGCCTCCATCCGCTGGTCCTCGCTCCAGCGGCGTTTGAAGCGCAGCTTGAGCGGGATGCAGCGCGTGCCGCCGGGGCTGACGGGCGCCGCCGCCACGCCCGGCTCGCTCTTCAGGGCCATCGGGGGCAGCGCCGGGCTGGAGGCGCCCACAGGAGGCGTGGCGGGAGTCTTGAAGACCTCCTCGTCGTCGTCAGGGTCGTCGTCATGGTGAGGAGCAGACGGGCTGCTGCTCAGCTGATGGTGGCGGCGGCGAGGTGCAAAGGCGTCGTCCTCATCGTCACGGCTCAGCTCCTCCTCACTGATGTCGGTCACCTCCACGTCCTCCTCGGACATGTCGGACACCGGCTCCACCTGGAGGGGACACAAGGGTCAGAGCAGGATTTCATTTAATGACAAATATATAATATAAAGTTAGAATATTATTTAATTGTATACATTTATATAATCAAAATATTTCATTAAAAAATATATAAAATAAATCAATTTAAATGATCTATCTATCTATCTATCTATCTATCTATCTATCTATCCATCTATCTATCCATCTATCTATCCATCTATCTATCCATCTATCCATCTATCTATCTATCTATCTATCTATCTATCTATCTATCTATCTATCGCTCGCAGTCTGGACTCACCTTGATCTTTGGGGGCCCGCCTGCTGGGCCAGAATTGGTCATGGCACCAGAACCGGTGAAGGAGGAGGAGGAGGAGGAGGAGGCAGAGGCCAGCGACCCCCCCGCCTCCCTCTGCTTGCGGCCGAGCGGCGGCGGCTGCAGCTTGAACTTGAAGGGCGACGGGTGCTGCTGGGACTCGTCGGCGCCCTGCTGGAGCTGGGTCAGCGGCATGGGGGGGGCGTGCAGGTGGTGCGGGGGCTTGTCGGGGGTGGGGCGGTGGGGCTGGGGGATGACGATGTTGGGGTAGTGGAGGAAGGCCCGGGGGCTGAGGTGGTAGTTGTAGACGGACTGGGTGTGGGCCTGCAGGTAGTGCTTCATGTCCTCTGGGTTGAAGGAGAAGTGGGAGCCCATCATGGGGGAGGACAGGGAGGGGGAGGGGGTGTAGGGCAGGTGGGGGGTGGGGGTCATGGACAGGGCCGGGGACAGAGTGGGGGCCAGCAGGCCTCCGGGGCCCGGCAGGGGGGAGATGGGGAATGGGGACAGGGGCTCTGGGTGGACTCTGTGGGGAGGCCTGTGCAGCCCAGCAGGGTTCGCCCCCCCGTAGACCCTGAACAGGGAGTCGTGGGTCATGCGGGGGGGCAGGAGGCCCCTGAAGGGGGCCCTGTCCTCGGCCCCCACCGCCTCCTCCAGCTCAGAGTTGGTGGAGGTGCCGTCGCTGCAGTCGCTGACGGAGCCGCGGGCCATGCGGCGCCCCACGCTGCTGAACACGCCCGGGCTGCGCAGCTCCTCGCTGGACGACAGCACCTCCGACGGCGTGGAGGGGGGGAACCGGAAATGGGTCCCCCCCGTAGGCACCGGGGGGGCGCTCTGTGGGACCCCTCGACCTGTGGGGCAGAAGACACTCAGTCCACTTCTGATCAGAAACCCGGCCGGTTTGCTTCCTCTGAGGGGCTCGCCAACAACAGAGTTACACTATTAGCACACACACACACATCCCCCCCCCTCTTCCTTTCTCTCCTGCCAGGGAGACTGTGGCACTGCTATAAATTCTTGGCATCGGAGCACATGCCAGAATTAAATATTGGAAAAGTGGCTCTTAGAGCCATTACAAACATGGGTTGGGTTCCTCTGTTTTTTCCAGCCCTGCTCAGCCTCTGTGTGTGTGCGTCTGTGTGGGTCTGTGTTCACATGCCATGTGTGCAGACGAGTGTTTATCTGGTGGAGCGTTTGGGGGCGTCTGATCGATCCAGATTGACGTGGGCGCCTCGTGTGTGTGTGTGTGTGTGTGTGTGCGCGAGCGTCGTATGAAACCATCATATCTCGACATGCCAGTGTGTGGGCCACATCACACAGGAGCTATAATTACAGCGTCGTGCTGCACTTATGTCACCCAGGATCCAACGCTCCATATGGGCTGTGTTTACACTGGGCGGCCGGGACCAGAACCAGAGAGGGCTTGAGGGGAGGGAGTGGAGGGGTGAGCTGGGACGTGGCACAGGGATGCCTGAGACACTCGGTAACCGGCCAGATCGTGCCCTCACTCACATTCAGCCTCTGTTCTGTGCTGATTTAACATATTCAATTACGACAGATGCATTAAACCCCCTGCATAATGATAAGAAAAAGCAGCTTTTCTGTTTTAGAAGGATGTTTAACCGACTATTTTTCATTTTACTCTTCAATACCAGCGCAACCTGTTGAGCCTCAGCAGTTTTTCTGTGGTTCCTGCAGCAAAGAGTATTTTTCTTTAATCCCAAACTCTGTAAAAACCATTTTGGTCAAACTAGCTGCATGAATTTGACTTTTGTAAACCTCTCCAGAGTTCCCACAGTGGGTCAGAACCTGAATGAAGCCATGACCCAGCATGTGGACCTTATCTGTGCAGAGATCGGTGCTGCTGGAGCAAAGTTACAGCTGGAGCTCTGACACATTATGGCTCCATGAGATTTCTGAGCTCTTTGAACACAACAATGATTTTCCTTCATCTAAAGGCGGAAAAAGCTGATTTTTCGAAGAATTACCCACACGATATTGCCAATAAGGAAGTCTTTGGACAGGAGCTGAAACAGAGACTGAGACAGGCCTTAAATGTGGTTTACATACCGGAGCCCATGTCGATGAAGGGGTAATTGACGAGCACCAGTTTGTTGAAGTTGAACTTGTAGGTGAACCTCTTCCCTTTGGTCTTGTGGAGGATCCTTTTGTTGTAGTAGTATCTGAGAAAAGACGACACGTCCTGTCAGGTTCCATTAACATTTCAGCTAAATTTGACACTGTACTGGCAACATCTGGAGTTGACTGATGGACGTTTGCCTGCTCGATCTGATTTGGATCCTGTACGCTCAAAAGCGTGCTCTAAGTTCTCAGGTAAAATGAACAAAATAACATTAAACTATACGAGCATCCTGAAGGTTTTCCGTTTCTGGAAATGTACCAAAACACATGAAAGATTCACCTGAGGGATTTAAACCTCTGATTGTGGCTTGGATGGGGAAAAAAAGAAAAGCAAAAAGAAACAATCGTCATTACTCAGCGCTCAGTCTGTGTCCAGTACAAGAAGAATCAGTTTTTCTGTAAGAGCCATCGCAATGAGGCTGATTCCAGGACTATTTTATCTGCTCAGAGGAAGGAATCTAAGACTTTTACCCCCAGCATCTAGTGTCAAATCAATCTGCCTCTTTTGCTTCTTGTATCTCTGTGCCTCATGTCAGATATTGACGGGAAGCTTTTCTGAGGCCAACTGTTTGGAAAGTGTGTGCATTACTCTAGCTAAACTGCAGCTTTATTCATTCCGCGCAGACAGAAATGGCTGGAGAATAAAAAAAACTCACTCAAGGACTTCCTAAAGGTGAATAAATCTATATTAAATGCATGTGTTTTGTGATCTTACAGACCCATCAGCAGGTGGACCCTTCAGGAGGCATTTCAATGCTACATATGAATGGAAAGCAGTTACAGAAGTCCCATTAAATCAGGTTACCCAGAATGCATACTGCCCCAGATGCTGGCCAGAGCTTTCCGGGCGGTTGGAAGCACGACACAAATGACCTTTTATATGATTGAACAAGTTGAACAAACACAAAGAAGCTCTAAATCTCTCTTTGAGGCTCGAGGAGGTGAAATAACGCTCAGATTTAGACGTTTCCAGGCAGTTCCATTAGTACAAGCGCATTAGTCATCCCCGTGCACATAATGATGGCGAGGAGTGGACGGGGAGCTGTTGACAGCTCATCCAAAGACAACAAAATGGCTCCCTGTGACTCACCCACATCCACATTCATATTTCTTTGCACAAAACGGCCTCAGCCGGGGCCTCATTCAGCTGTGAGTCGATGCTTCATTGTGAGAAATGGGTGATGTCTCGCATCACTTCCAGTAACATCCGGCGCTCAGGAGCTCACCATACATCAGCTCCAGTAAACAGGGACTCACTAAAGAAGCTAATCAGGCCTTTAAGACGGAGGTTATTACGCATTCATGACGTGCACAAATGGTGCAACAAAGGAGCAGAACTTTGCCTAATTACTAATTGCACTCGGTTAGATAAAGTCCTGGGATTTCGCCCTTTTTTTAAATTAAATTTGAAGTAGGGTTGGATCCATATTGTGAAGTCAGGATTTTATGAGAGCAGAGCGACAGCCTGGGGGAGCTTTAAATGAGCTTGTATGACCTCTTTAGCAGGGGATAAAGCTGCTGTGTTCACACTAAAGTGAGAAAGGTTCCCAATGTGGGTGTAATAATGGAAAAAAGTGTAAAAACTGTGGGGGCAAAACGGCAGAAGGTCTGAACATGTCACTCGGTTCAACATTAAGCATTTTGTTGGAATTGTCAGTAAGAAGTGATAGAAAACACTGCCGGCTTGAGGAGATGAGTGCTTCTTTTTTCTTTGTGTGCTTGCGTTATTGGTTTATTAGCAGACTCTTCGTTTAGTGTTTCGGTCTTTGGTTTTTCCTCACTTTTTCTGTGCCCTGTCTCGTTTTTTGCTCCATTTGATTCTTTCCCACCTCCTCTCAGATTCCCTCCTGCCTGGTCATTAGCTCCTCACCTGTGCTCAGACGGTCTCAGCTGCAAACATTCCTTAACGAGTTCCCCCCCAGTGTTTAAGCTAATTGCTTTTGCCTCACTATGGTTTGCTTCTCAGGGTGCTTTCAAGTCAGGATAGTTAGAGACCAACTGAAAAAAGCCCCCCCCCCATGGTTTCTTTTCACGCTGTTTCCCCCCAAAAACAAGCCCTGACCAGGAACAAAAACAGCATGAAGTCCACCAAAGAGTAAAGTTGCTCCTTTTAGGTTAAAACTACCATAAAAAGTAAAGCAGTTTTCCATAATTTACCCCCAAAAATGAGCAAATTTAGGCAAAACTAAGAGAGAAAATGGGAGTAAAGGGGAGGATTTGCATGTGGTTGTAAACGGCAACGGAGCTGGGATTGGATCTGACGCTCATGGGCGATGGATGTTCCTTTGAACCAGTCTGGGAAGCGACTGGAAGCACATACCTGTGAAATGAAATGTCAGCCTTACAAACATGGAGCACAGACCATTTGGACCTCCGTCAGAACCACCAGAAAGGACCCGAGCTGTATTTACTCAAACTTCATGCACTCAAAACACACATGTGCAACACTGCAGACTCACTTCAAAGACTAGGAGGCATCCATCAAAGATGAAGGAAGCTTCGCTTCAAACACAGTAACAATTAATTAACAACTCTTTGTTCAAAGGTTTAAAAACCACAGTAAAGGCATTTCCAGCAGTTTGGTCCCAGCTGGTCACTGGTTTAAAACCATCTACTGAAGTTTGATACATTCCTTGTAAGGATTTAAAAAGGATTTTTTCATACAAACATACATTTCTCTGCTGATGTATGTGTAGAATGTATTCTATATAAAATAGAAAAATAAAAAAAATCTAAGGCCACCGGTTCTGATTGGAGATCCAGATCTCATTTTAGCCAAGATTCATTTTGTTAAATGTTTTCTGCAAATATTTAGGAAAGTCAGCTGAAATGAGCCGTTTTGTGTAAAAAACAAAATTGAAAAAGCTGCTTTATCCAGTTAAGTTAGAGACAAGATGGGTTAAAGGAGGGCTGACACACAAGGCAATAAGTGTTTTTGTGTGCGTTTGTGTGTGGTGAGGACGATAACCCCACAGATAACATGTTTATACAGGACCATGAGGGCAGACTGGTGGCTGTATAAAACTGGGCAGCAGCGTGTGCTCTGCAGACGGGTTAATCTGGTGGTCACCCTGCCTCAAAAGCACTGCGGTTTGCTATAACTAATCATTAGTTGGTGAAAAATAAGCTCAAACATGCCAAAAAAAGATTAAAATGACCTATTTAAAATATTGCTACTCTATCCTATCCCATATGTAAAGCTAAAGGACAGCGTTGCCCAAACATTTGAGGAAAATAGTATGTATTCTGGGTCTTTGTGGTCAAAAGAAAAGGAAAAAACTCAGAAGTTGTCTACAATGTGGAAGTTAAAGGGGTTTACAGCCGAACTGTTAATGATTCAAACATTTCGGAAAGATTCTTTCTTAAGAAAATTCTCATTCTAATTATTATTTAATGGCGTTTTGTACGTAAAACAATCAGAAGTACCAGACTGATTCATTTACAGAAAAGCAGGTTTACATTAACACGAGGCATTTTTCACCATAATTGCTGGTTATGGCAAAAAATACAAGTTGAATTCATTTTAAAAAGAAACGAAAGTTGAACTCTTATCCAAAGTCAAACAATCATCAGCTTTAAAGCTACGATGACAGTGTTGATGAACTGGATAATAAGCAGGTGTAAGCTAACATATTAGCACCGTAAATAATGAACTTCACACGTTTTGTCATCCGTTTCTGAGAACAATTTGGCCTAAAGCTGACCCATAAAGGTGGTGATCGACAGGTTTTACGTAAATTTAAATCACTTTGTCACTTTGGAACGCTATGCAGACCAATTTGTACATTCCTTATTTACTGATGCTGCAGGCAGACATGCCTCAGTTCAGCACAACTTGTCTTATGCTTCGGATTCTCGAGTGTCTCATTTCAACAGTTTGTGGTCGGGTCGTTTGTTCTGTATGTAACTTTAGAAAAAAAATTCTATATAGTCGTTTAGCCCTGTGGTGCATTTAGGTAGGTGTGTAAAGGTGGGAAAGGTGTCACTTCCCTCTCAATTTATTCTAAAAGTTTTCATATGGATACATAATTTAGATTACAGGCTCCCCCCAGCGTCTTTTTTTCTCCGGCTTTATTTCATTTTTTTTTAAAGCAGAAAAAGAACAGAATTTTTCTAAAGCATCATTTTACATTTGCATGGCTCTTCATAGAGTTTTAATCTGGAGGATGAGCTATTTCTGAAGAAAAATCCTGAACTCACATCAGTCCAAGTGGAAACAACCACGGAAATCCACATTTCCAAGATTTTTTCCAGCCCTTTAATGCACCATGCGAGTATGAAGGTCTGAGGAATACAGGAGTCTCGAAATCTCATGTGCACTCACAAACTGCTGTGTGCACATGTGGACTGGTCTGTGCGTGCCAGACGATGCTTACGCCCATGTTTTAGCATTTCAATGACCACATTTGTGAGCTTTTAAGTTAAAAATCTGTGTTAAATTGCCCATTCTTGCACACAAAGTGGCTTTTGCAGCTCACAAATCACGTCCAACTCAGCGTAACCACACAGGGTCCATATTTTCTCCATATAAGCTCCAAAGGGTTTATATCTGTTCAAACAAACATGATTCCTGCTTCTGGATTTTAATTCCGACATGAAGCCAAATAAGCTCAGTCATTTTCTGAATCTTGTGGTTTTGGACTCTTGTAGAGAAGCTTAACATTAATGTTGTTGCATTAGCTTTACTAATCATAGCTGGATAATATGTTAAGAACAGCGATCCATCTGGGTGCTTTGGTCAGGTATGTCAGGGTTTGGCTTCATGGCTTTAGACTGAACAGAAAATCACGATTCAACTAAATGGGTGCTATATGTAAGCTTTTTTTATGGGGGTATCTGGAAAGGCTGCAGCCAAAGTATTCAATTGAATCTTTTTAGTCACAGGTGCACATAAAGTTTAGTCTTAAGTGTGGATGGAGCGATCAAAATTACTCCAAACTTAAATTTGGGGCCATTTTTCCCCCCTCAGTGCTCACCTCAGTGCTCGGCTGAGCTTGTCGTAGTTCATCTGGGGTTTGCACTTCCGGGCCCCCCAGAGACGGGCAACTTCGTCCGGGTCCTTGATGACAAACTCTCCATAGTCTCCCTGCCAGGCGATGACATCATGGTACTCCTCTTTCCTCAGCAGCTCCAGGATGAAATGCCACAGCTGGATCTGTCTGGAGCCCGGGCTCGACTCAGGCTTGTAGGCCCACTCCGGGAAGGCAAACCCTTCAGAGACAAAGAAGGGTGATTAGTTATCCTGTCCAGGAGAGTTACTGAGGTTTCTGTGCTGCTGGAGCTCTGACACATTATGGCTCTACATTGAAAGTTTAGATTTCTGAGCTCTTTGAACACACCAATGATTTTCCTGCACCTGAAGATCTAAAAAAGCGGATTTTTCCAAATAATTCCCCACTCAGATGTTCCTCCAAGTGGATCACACACAGTATTCTGTCCTTTCTCAGGTCACATGGGACAGCATGTCCTGCTCCCATTGGCCCGTTTGTATGACTGAGCCCAGGTTAGAATCCTTGAAGCATGGAGCATAACTTTGGTCTTTTGCTGCTCATCAGCTCGTGTTTGAACTGTGTTTGGTGGATGTAGAAATGTTTTCATGAGCTTTTAGCTGAGTCTGACCTTTCTGTAAATGCTAAATACATTTCTATTCATACATATTGTAAGGATTTCACATAACTTATATTTTCTGTATCACCTTGCTCCAGTTCACGAGGATTTTACTGTAAATGCACAAAAACATCATTGTGACTTTTGTTTTCAGGTAAAACGTCAAAAGGTGGTTAATCATTGAAAACCTGCTGAACATGTTTAACCTTTAAATCAAGTTTGGCTTGATGGCGCCGCGTAGATATGCTGAAGATCTAATGGTGCTTCTTCCTTTGCTCTGTGCTCACTGATGACCGCTTTGGTTTTATCTTTTCTCACAGACGTAAACACCCCTGCTATCAGCATCAAAGCTGGAGAATCAGCAGTGTTTTAACAGATTATCAGGCCTTGAGATATGTGCAGCCAAAATATAAGATACAGGTTTGCTGCGACAATGCGAAGCGCGCGCACAAAGTATAGGCTATGTGCTGTAAAGCAGTGGGTGGCAGTAAAAGATTCAACACCACTTCACAGCAGAAGACCAGGCTGCAAGGCTGAATAGCAGAGGACGACACACACACACACACACACACCTTATTAGGACCAGATGTGCTTTGGCAATCAGGCTGAGAAAGCTGAGGGTGGGAAACATATGGGCACAATATAACAATGCTGAATTTTGTGTGTGTGTGTTTATGTAACTGCTGTAAAGACTCGCTTAATAACCAAGGTTAGAGTTGGTTTCCCACACTCTGAAATGAGCTGCATCTCCTCAGCAGCGACGGCGAACCGCTAGCGACGCGTCTGAGGCTGGTTATCTAAAAGCACGTTCCAATGGATCCATAAAGTCTCTCATGAAGCCGAGGACTCGGCTCGTTGATCCTTTTCATCTTTAATGTGTCGGTGACGTTTGATTGGAGCGCGCTTCGTAAAACGGGCCCAGAAGAGGAAAAAAAAGCTTTTAAAATACCCACAAATATGGAAAAAAAAAGAGGGTAAATAAAAACGGGGAAATTAAAAGGCACCTGGTAAACACACAGGACTCGCTTCCATGTGACACTGGTTAATGCAACTTAACACAAACCAGATCCTCTGAGATATTCTCCAAAGTGAACTGTTTTGTGTGAATTGTGCGAATATTTCTTAAGATAAAACTAATTCTGACCACGGCTTTTTGCACGTGTTTTCTCTTATCCAGATACAAATCACTTTTTATAAGTGCACAGAAATGGAATCAAAGTGAGTCATGGAAAAACAAACCAATATCAAAGTCCACTATCGAGCGTGGAGAACGCCGCTTTGTGTCTGGCAAACGGCCACAAAAGCAGTGCACAAGGTGGAGAAGGACTCGCTTTCAGAAGCAGATGCTGCAACAGTTTGACAAAAAGGGAAGGTCAGACCACATTATATAGCTAAAGACAAAAGTAAACCCTGACAAACAGCACCACCTCGTCACGACACAAAAAATATATATAAACATATTTTTTACTGCAAAAGTAAAACACACTTTATTGATATAACCCAATAAAGTGTGCAATAACTTCTATTAATCACTTTAATCTTACTGCTCACATTTCTAAAACCAGGTACAGATATTTCCCCCCCATTAAAAAAAATTAATCGGGTTAGTTTTTGTGGACCAGTGGTGAAACTGAATGTGTGCAGGGCAGGAAGCAAAGGGCTGTGTAGCCTGCATTCATCAACCTGGGACACACATTTTTCTTCTCTAAAAAATACCAAAGATTACTCACTTTGGCAGGAAAAATGCTGTAGGACAAACTTATCAGCTGCTTTGTCTTCAGTACTATAAAAACATTATAATCTTCTTAAGTGTTCCTGAACAGTTCTCCAGGATTTCTGAGAATCACAGTTTTTCTTTGGACTTTTGAGCTTTTTCAAAGGAATGTGTTTTTTCTTTTAAGCCACTTAACTCTGAGCTATGAATCATTCAGGCAGAAAAAAGGCCCCTAACTCAAGGGATGAGCTGGCGTTGTGTCCAGTCAGCAGAGAAGCAGTTTAAAGTGGATCTTTAGGCTCTTTGTCTGAACAGTCTGTAATTTTTGTAGCTGATGCAGGAAAAAGGCCAAAGAAAACACAGTTTAACAGACAGGAAACAGGATTTTCTTTCTGAGAATTCCCAAAGAGCTGCTGGCTGAAAACTGGGCAGATCTCAGCTGGTGAGCAGCGAGTCCTGAAAACATCTGAGGAAACTGGACAAGTGGAGGACTAAAGAAGAAGAGTTTGACCTAAAAAAACTCTCTAATCCAGCAGATGAAGAGGATCTGAAAGTGAAAGAGGAACAGATCCAGCAGAGAGCTGAACAGGAGCTGAGAGCTGCATCTGGACCTTCTGCTGATCCAGACTCCTTACAGAAAGGACCACAGCTGCTCGCCAAGGCTTCAGAGATGGAGGAGAAAGGAGCTCAGAGCAGATACTCGCTTACAAACTATTTGTAATTATATTTGACCATGTTTCAAAAATTGCTGCTCCATCTCTGAAAGGAAATAAGGAGCAATCAGAGCTCTGACATTTAATTTTGCTTATAAAAAAAAAACTCCACAGACTTTTTTTTTTTTTCAAATACACAAAAAAGCACCAAAAGTATCTTAAATACTGCAAAACAGACCAGTTCCTGATGACTAACAAACCGCATGCTGCTCTCTGATCTCCTGTGGCGCTGGGAGAACAAACCAGAAGACAGACAAGCCGGGAGTGATAGCTGCTAATAGCCCTCAGAAAACAGATTACTAATTGGGTGTCAGCATATGATTCACACGGCTGGCACTGAGGCTCTCTCCTCTGGGGACGGTCTCAGTGACACAGAGACACAGACCCAGCACACTGGTGGATGTTTTGGGGTGCACTTGTGGCTGATGAGAGGACAACGCTTCGCGGACGCCCCAGAAAAAGAGACGGTCGAACGTTCGTATCATCAAAGCAGGCGAGTTAATATCTCTGACACACACAGCTCAGGTTAGTTGGTGGAGGTAAGTGGGTTCATGCGTGGGCGCAGCGAGCACAGAGAGAACACTGGAATAGCAGCCGTGCACGTGTGTGTGCACGTGTGTTTGCATGTGTGTGCGCTGCAGATGTCCCTGCTGACTCATAGCCCGTTCGTTTGTCGTTCGCTTTTCTCCCCCTCAACGCCGCCGCTGCCATTTCTTCCTTTCTTTCTCCCTTTCATTTGGTCCCTCCCTCACTCGGCCGCTCCTAAGACACACCGTCTCCTGGCAACACAAGCTTTCAGCTCTAAAAATAAGTGGCAGAGTCACGACAAACAAGACAAAATATGATTCAATTACAGAAAAAAAGAGGGGAAAAAAAGAGAAAAACTTGCCAACAGAGTTTGTGATCGTTTATCACAGAAAATGAAGGAAAAATGGTTGCATCGAAGGATAGAAACCAACTAAAGTCTCACACATGTGCAGCTCAAACCACCATCACACAGAGAAACTGGTCACATTTGGTCTTATTTTCCCCCAGAAAACTGAAGATAAATCTGTTTTTATGACGTATCTATTAATCGGCCAACATTAACATCTTATAAGAGAAGAGGCTTGTCCTAAAGTTTGTATGAAATCTATAATGTTACATGTAAAACCAGCCAATAAATCTATTAGAATAATATTTACCAGAAAGATTCAAATCCCTCAAAAATGTAACATCGCTTAACTTCAAAGGCACCGTCCAATTCAGGCCAATTATAGGCTCATTCATTCTAATAAAATCAGAACCAGATCAAATTCAGAAATAAAAAACAAAAATCCTCTGTGGTCTGAAGTGGCTGTTTTTGACATCTTCTCATAAATATGATCATTTGGAATTCTTTGGTGTATGTGTTTTGTAATTTTAAAACGACAACAAAATCCCTCAACAAATGTCTAAAAAAAACCTTTTACAACTTAGAATGAGATTATAATTTGTACATTTCAGAATTCCATGTGCTAAATCGGGCAAGAAACAAGTATGAACAACGATTTCTGTTTAAGTTAGGCAGAATAACCAGGAGTAACACTGAAGCGCCACACAGATTGTTCCCTCCGGTTCGCTACGATCTAAACACCCTAAATATCAAACATCTCTTCTGTCCATACAGGTCGTAAATAATATACCTAAAAAGCTGATGGCGGTTTGTTAAAGTCACAGCTTTTATCCATTAGGTCAAGAGCCAAGATGGCAGAAAAATATAAAGCTTTGAAAATAATGTTTATATTTTCTCTGAAGCTGGTTAAAAAGTGTTATAAGGTATTATGCCAAGTTTGCTAAATTGATGGCTATTTTTGACCAAATAACCCTTTTTTCACAAAATGATTGTGTAATAAATTATGTAATAAGTGTAATAATAATAAAATAAACTGTGTGGGAAATAAGCCAATGAAGTTAGAAAGAAAGACAGGACCAGTGTTCAGATTGATTCAATTCAAATAACGAGGTGTGAAAAAGATCCACGTCTTGCTATTTGCAAAAGGATGTATAGTTTTTGTAGATCTTTGAGAGCTGCTGAAACAGCTTGTCATTGAGTTTCTTTAGAACCTTAAGCTCAGAAACATGCAATAAGAAACCCAATTAAAGGATCCAGCAACAGTGCTGCGAATACGCACAAGACTTATGTGGCACAAAGACAAAAGCCTTTGTAGAATCTGGCAAACGGCGCTCCAGACAGGAAGAATTTCTAACAGTCAGGCAGAGGTGAAACAAACCATTTCAGGCCTCATTGGGCTCTATATTTAGCAGAGCGCAGGGTAGAAAAACTAATTTACTATTAGCCTGAAGTCCCAAGCTACCTGCGCTCTGCTTTCCAAGAGAAACACACAAAAGGCAGCAGCGGCAATCAGAGGGGAGGCAGGTCTGCTTTGCTTTGGGACTCTGACGTCACTGCGTTTGGATTCTGGCTCAAAACCACCGATAGCCATCTCAGAGGTATTGTCCAAAGGGTCTACGGCCACCGGGACCAAAACACAGCCTCCAATGCTGCTTTTCCTCCCCCCCAAAAGGTTTCTTTAGCATGCCATTCCATCTATCCATCTATCCCCCGTTTATTTCTCCCTCCCTTCCTCCTATTCTTTGCCGGCTCTATCTTTAGCCGCTGGAAAGGTCGGCCTGTGTCTGCCTGAGGGCAGGGGCTGGGGGGCTGGGGGGCTGGCGGGCGGCACGCAGCAGTGACGGGTCGGGGGCTGGCTGACGACTGGAGGCTGGATGGGTCTATCAGCGCCGCGATCAGGACAGCACAGAAAGGCAGGAAATAAATGGGTACAGAGCAGGAAACGGGGAATCTCTGCTGGGCGTAAACGCCACTGGCGCAGCCACAAAGGCTTATTTGGGAAAATACAAACAAACATCATCGTCAAACTTATCGGCTAAACCTGCAACAACCCGCCAATAGATAATGTACAGCAAAACACAGCTTTTTTCCCCCATGTTTGCTGTCTGCCAATCAGAAAAGGGCAGTCTGAGTCTCAAACTGATGTTTAAGAACAATCTGCTCCTCACTGGGCTGATCTCATAATTACCCCGAAAGGATGGAGCTCGGATTTGAGGAGCCAGTGGCTTAAAGAGGGAGGAGCCGGGTGGAAATGGGACGAAGAAAGACTCCAGTGGAAATATGGGTGAGGAAGAAAGTCAAAGGGCTAAAGCTCTGAGCGCAGGGCTCCGATGAGCCCTCCAACATGAGCACCAACTTACCCTAAAGGACAGGCTGCAGCCCTGATGAACCAGTATCAGAAACTGGTGCAGGACTGTGGCGATCAAACCAACTCAAAACTACTTTAGCAACCACCTGGAACCCTTTGAGACAAAAAATGTAAGAGAAAGGACAGGAAATTAGGGTGTATCTTTGCTAAGTGTTGGGGAGCAGAGGGAGATAAAACCAGACACTAAATCAGAAAGAGATTCCTAAGAAAGAAAATTGAATATAATCTTGGGCTTGGATGTGGGCATAAGCCCAAAATGTGTGTTTACATCTTCATTTCCCAACAAAGAAAACAAAGACCTATGGAGAACTGTGGTGGTGAGGCAAAACAGAGGCTTTATCCAAGAGGATAAAAGACTTAGAAGAATACTGGCTAGAATTGTAAACTTTCAGTGATCAACAAAGGAAATGGGCTAAATTCATCGAAAACACTTCAAATAGAAGGGACCTCAAACACTGGTTTTCTTTGAGCCCTGCAGGTTTTAGACGTTCCCCTGCTCCAACACATCTGATTCAAATCACTGGCAGAGTTTGCAGGACAAAATCTTTTGAAGAGGTCCGTTCGATCTGAATCAGGGAAACATCGAAAACCTGCAGGGCAGCGCCCCGGAGTTTGAGATCCCGGACAAAAGAAGAAGTGAATAAAAACAAGGGTGGACAGTTCGTTTTAAGCTGTGGGAACTGAACTTCGAACTTTCCTTTATTCACACCAGATACTGTCATTGGCCTGAGACCTCAGCAGTGAGTGTGGATCTAAGGAGTTAAAAGCTTCAGGGTGAGTCTTTATCAGCTGAACTCCGTCAGATCATAAATCATTTATCCATCTTATGGTTCTGGTCTGAGCTCAGCGAAACGGTTTGTAAATTCCAGACAAATCTGGATGGTGCTCATATCTGGTTAATGGCAGAGAGCGGGTCGCAGAGGTTATCGGCCGTTTGTCGCTCTGCCAACAGCTGACTGACGAGGCCTGTCTGTGTTTGCATATTAAAGGAGTGAATATGGCCTCAGTGCTGTCCACCTGTGACCAGATCACCTAGAGCCGATGACAAACTGAGAGAAAGAAAGATCTCCTACCTCTAGTGATTAGTTTGTGGGGAAGTGGGAAAATGCCTCCTCTTCTGAAAACAGACTCATTGTGTGGAAAGAAGAAGTGTTAAATTGAAGAATCCAACTAGCACCAACACACCTCTAAAGGTTGCCATGTATGTAAAAATCTGTTTCAGTTTTAGCGTTAAGGCAACTTACAAAATGCCTGAAACGAGGTTCCACTGCACAAACTGCGCGTCATGTTGGAGAAATAATAATGTAAATAAAAGAAAACATACATATCTTTTTAAATACTGAGAGACATAATTGCAGGAAGAAATGCAACGTCAGGCTTTTCGACGCTATGAGCAGGGTTTAAACCACGTCTGAGCCAGCAAAGCCGCTTTAATCTGTGGACGCCTGAACCCATCCAGACAGACCTGCTGCAGCCTGGGGGCGTCTAAAACACCTTGAAAGCCGTCAAGGCTGTGATTAAGATGGCCCTGGATCGGTTTATATCGGTCTTGGCTGCTGGTGTGCGTGTGTATGTGGACTTTGAACAGACCGTGACACAGAGCTGCCGACCATTCCTGACCATTTAGCACATTTTACCCTGATTCAAACCCCTGCTCAAGCAGTCTCTGTGTGGATGTGAGGACTAAATCCTCAGCACACAGGAAAGCATCAGAGCTGAAGTGTTAATGAGAACCAAAATCCTAAACTATCACATCTGAGATGATCTCAGAGCTCAAGACTCTATCTCTTAATCTGCCGTGCCTGAGCCAAGGTTGGAGGCTTATCAGTTTCAGGCCTATTTTCCCAGAGGAGGAACACATACATGCATGTACACGTGCTCCGAAACGCGTCTCAGCATGCTTTCCTTCCAGAAAATGACAACCCTGCTGCACACTCAGCTCTAACCTGCTGCCTGACTACATCACTGAGGATCTCCAGCATGTATCCCACAGACGCAGGACGGAACCTTCAACTGTAGTAGACAAACACCAGTTCTGTCTCCAGATGCTCATGATCATGTGCACACACGCAGTCTGTCTTAAGAAAGTAAGGCAGGCCAACACCCGGCAGAATTCAACCATTTTTTTAGCCCAACAAAGCAGACAGTTTGCTGATTAATGACATCAAACTGGGCAGACAGCATGCTGTATGACCCCGACACCCACCCTCTAACCAGAACGCTGCTACAGATATATGTCTGAAGTTACAAAGGATCAAATAAGACATCTAAGCTACATCTGTCTGAAATTTAGCAAACAGCAAAGTTAGACAGCCAGAACCAGAATGAGGCCGCAGCTCTGCAAAGAGAGAGGGAAATGTGTGCGTTATAACCTAAAATCTGGCTTCTGTGTTGTGGTTTAGTCTCCAGACTGCTTTAAGTTTTCTCCAACGTACACACAGTCGTGAGGCCAATGTTAATTTAGTGACTTCAGCTATTGGAATTAGCCATGTGCACACATACGAGCACACAACCACAGCCCAGAATAGCTCTATAGCTCCAAATGCTGGCCGGGGCTGGATGAGTGTGACTCATTTTGGTTCTCTCTGCCAATCAATTTTCATCTCCTCGTTTTGCCGCCTCAGCTCGCCCTTCCCAAGACGACCGCTTTCCTTTACAGCATCTTTCCAAGCCAACAAAGAGGCTCCGCGGCTGATTAGGACAATTCAGTTCACAAACAGGACCGAAACACAGTTCAAATCATCTCTGAATTTCTAATTAGCCGTAATAGCATCTTAATGCGTTTCAGACCGAGTCGGCAAAAGAAACCAAACTCTGAATTTCATTAGGAGATGGTGCCAAAGGGTCTGATCAGACAACAATGTGCATATCTGACCGTGATTAACGGGATCAGTGTTTACATCTGCCCTGTATTGGTTATGCTGGATACGACACCCTGGGCAGGAGAAAATTATTGGAAAATAAGGCTAACAGACTGAGTCAGCTGGAGCATGGAGCTCAAAGAAAGAGAATTCAAATTGCCCCCCCATAACGCTCATCTTCCTGAAGTCGATAAATCAGGCTGTGATGCTTTGTCAAAGGGCCAAAAATTATTAATTTATGTCAGAGGGAAACAGAGAAAGGAGCCTGAAAGCAGGATGACAAGGAGGAGGAGGTGGAAGGAGTCTGACAGAGAGCAGAAAATTCCTAAACATGAGGTTTTGATGAGTGAATGAACAGAGTTAACAGAGCTGTTAATCCTGTGATGAGCTCCTTCATCTCTGCTTAACCCTTCACTCCTGTCCAGAAGGAGGAGCAGGAGGAGGAGGCTGAGGAAAAAGAAAAGAAAGGGGGGGCAGGAGACGGTGGAAAAAGAGCTGGAGGATTGGGAGAAGAAAAGGGGAGAATGTGAAAGACAAGTAGAAGAAAGGGGAGGAGGTGGAGGAGGAGGATCAGGAGAAGAAAAGAAAAATCTGAAGGACAAGGAGAAGAAACACGAGGTGGTGGAGGAGGAGGAAGAGGAGAAGAAATAGGGGAGCATTCAGATCTGAAGGAGGAGAGTGTAGAGGAGAGGAAGCAGGAAATGTTGAAAAAGAGGAGGAGGATCAGGAGAAGAAAAGGGAGGAAAATGTGAAGGACAAGGAGAAGAATGAGGACGAGGTGGAGGAGGAGGACACGGAGAACAAAGAGGAGAGGAATGAGGATGAACAGAACTGTTAACTCTGTGTGATGAGCTCCTCCATGTCTGACCATCCCTTCCACTCACATCCTGAGCAGGAGGAGGAGGAGGATTAACCCTCTCACTTTAACTCCTGCTTTCTTCTGAACTGAACCCTGAATATGTGCCGTGCTGCCAGAAGGAGGTGGTCTAGCCCAGCCCTCGCAGAACTCCCCCCCCCCCCCCCCCAGTGGCAGCAACTCGCCGGGGATGAAAGTGTGAACTCCTGGATAAGTCGGGGTTTCTGCATGTGCCATCTGGGAGCGTTAGTCAGTCTTTCCTCAGCGCCAAGCCACCGCAGCCTAATTCCTCTGTTGCCTTAAATCTGCATCCTGCAGCCCGTAGACAGAGCGGCTCGCTGCCTGTGTAAAAACTTTAAAGGCTGAGGCACGCCGGCGTCACCGCAGGGACATGGCGGCCCCAGCCAGCGACCGTCCCAGCGAGGAAATTAAGAGTCTGCGCGTGCTAATGCAGAACAGATATCGCCCACTTTCATGGCCCGTGGGGGGTCCAGGGCCCTGAAACTGTGCGTGCTGCGAGCGGGTGTCAGAGGACCCGCTGATTTTCCTCTCATCCATCACCGCCATCAGCTCTGAGCTGAGACCTACCACTGGAGGACAGCTCCTCCTCCTCGGATTCGGCGTGTTCGGGGTGCTTCTCAACAGAAAGGTGACAGGGAGACGGAGCAGGCTTGGATTTATGGCCGCAACCTGCTCCACGGCGCCATTCTTATCACTGACATAATTTACGTCGTCCTTTGAAGCTTCTAAGATTACAATAACTGGACTATTTATTGTCCTCAACGTATGCAGGAACTCTCTTCTGTCGGAGGCCTTTTCACTTCAGTTCAGGCCTCAAACACGGAGACACGCGCTCCCAGTCAAAACAGCTTCAATCCAATTCATTCCAGTCCATCAGAAGGTTCATTCAACTTCAAATGAATCCAGTTCAAATGGAGCAAAAACAACCTTTTACAGTTCATGGACCGATTTAAGCCGAGTCTGTTTTAGAGCAGAAGCAGAAAAATTAGGTGGAGATGGTGGAAAAAAGAGAGGAAGAACAAAAGCAAAAGAAGGACAAGCGCAACAGGGAGGAGAAGCAAGAGAGAGATAAGAAGAGAAAAATTAGATCTCTGAGCTTCTCTAACAATTACAGAACTGGTGGATGCTAAAATCTTAACATCTAAAACTGTATTGAGTGGAGATTTCTTTACAGGCCTTCCACTCGGAGAAAGCCACAGGCTTCCCAGCAGAGCAAAATCTGCAGCAAACATCAGCCTCTCCTGCCTTTTCTCTTTTCCTGCAGCTTTTTCACTATTTTCCCTTAAACTGTCCCACTGGAGGTATTCCAACTTTCAAACTGACTTTGAACGACACATAATGCACATCCAGACTGTTGCCAGCAGGGACGAAGTAAAGAGTTTTAAAGTTATAAAGGCCCATTCTCCCCCATTTGTTTCCAGATAGAGTTCGAAGTTCTAATCTTCTAGCTGTGGATGTGGTCTTAGAAAATGAAACTCCAATAAAGAAAAATAACCTGCACAATTAGAATAAAACAACACTTTCACTGAGTGTAAAGGGTGAACAATCCGCCTTACAAAGACTCCCTTTTAAGACTGTCACTCACTACCATAACAACCCCACCAGCATGAATGTTTAAAAGAAAAAGGATGGAGTAATGCAGGATGTTCCTCTTCATTAAACACACACTCCTTTCTTTAGGCGTGGAGGGGGCCAGAGGCCGTAAATTGCTGTTAATTTGGACGATTTTTTGCTTTATGAAACTACTAAAAGACTGTAAGTGTTTCATTTTGACTTTTGGGATTAGTGTAAATGACCCATTAGAACCTAATCAATAAAATGAATGCCAAATTATTCATGACAAACTACTATTGAATAGGTATTTACTCAGCTTCCCTGGGAGAAACGTACACTAATTTGGAAATGTATGCATATTTCATAGAGTGAGCTTTATGGGCAGAAAAGGTCTGTGGTGCATCAACCCAGTCCAAACAACCACAAACCAAAAAGCTGTTTTCTCACCCCAACCTGTTGGCAGCTTTCCCCAAAGAGCCTCTCAAGGTGGTCCTCTGCGAGAAGCCATTCAATTCATGCTGCTCCCGGTTTCTGAATTACCTGGGGTCATTTCCATGACTAAAGAGTTTCCACTGGACATGCAGATCGCTGCCAGTGGATAGACTTAACTGCCCATCAGTGGACTCGTTATATTGTGAGTCAGCAGAGGTAGCCACACACTGTGGGTCAGTCCACCTGCTCACCAAACCCAGCACTCCGTCTTGTTACTTAAAAATGGCGGGTTTGCCAGGCAGTGCAGGACCCATTCTCACAAAGCACCGATCACAGTCACAACAGACCGAACACCTGAGTCGGCGGGATGTTTCAGCCAAAACACCGACAGACTAAACAGAAAAAACACACATCTTTGCTCGTCTTTCTCAGCCTTGGTTTTCAGGAAAAAGAAAAACCTCACAGTTGGAGGGGGAATTTTAAAAACGTGCTGCCGTTCATGCAGAACAGGCTCCTAATGGTGTGAAAACGAGGCCGTAGGCCGTGCATCCTGTCGGGTGCTTCGGCGGTGAAGCAGAGTTTGATCTGCACGGTGGAGGTGAATCGCTGGCTTTGCTCGACCTGTTCGGTGCTTTTGCCTGCCCTGCAGGGGTCAGCTGTGACAGAGCCCAAACAGGCCGCCCCCCCAGGCTTAAATGCCGAGAGACTTCAAACTCATTCTTTGGGTTAAAGCGTCTGAGCTTTGAGCAGAAGCAGATGGCATCCCAACATCCAAAGCAGGTTTGGTAAATTTGAGCTCACTTTGGTGTCACAGTGGCTTCCAATCAGCAATCCCAGAATACACCTTGTGAGAACTTGGGCTCAGAGTAGGAAAATTATCTTTAAATACAAAAGAACTCTGACCTAAGAATGGTTTGAATCAGCCACAGGTAGTACTTGACAGTCTCTCCCCAGCAGAACACCAAACAGGTCAGGATGAACATGTCCCCCAGTTACACAAATAGATATTTCCCTTTAACATTTTGCTTTTCTTCTCTGTTTTGAAAGCAGTTGCTGTAAAAAAAAACAATCCTGTTTTTTGGAAAGAAAAAAAAACAAAGGAAGATGTTATCACGGTAATCAGAATTAACTATTCAAGCGCAACTGTGGAAGTGACTAATCAAAAATGGTTTCCCAGCTAGAGGACAAAAAACGCTTTCTAAATTCACTCAGCTGTGGTGCCCCGAGGCAGAGCCCCTTCAAGGTTCAAAGGCTGTCCTGTTTAGACGGAATAAAAACGTCGTGTGAGTCATGAGTGCTAAATATATGGGCCAAACGTCTCAATGGAGGAGGATTCATTGTGCGTGCCGACACCTGGATGCCTTCTTGGCAAAGTGTCAAAAACCTTTGCACACTGCACGCAACAGGTGTGTACCTTATGTTGTTATAAGTTAGATCAACCATGGAAATTCACAAAAAAAAAGGCTCATGGTCATTACTGGGAATCAGACTGTGCAGGAAGAGGTAAACAAAAGGAGTATTATGATGATCGGCAGCTAAAGTGATGTGTTTTTGGGAAAATAAGAAGAGAAAGGTGCAGGTAATCCAGTGTAAAGAGATTTCTGAGATCAGATCTGAATAAGTTCAAGAGGAGCCTTTGGTTTGCAGAGCGCGAACTAAAGGGAGGAAAGGAGGAAGTTTAAAGAGGATCCTGGAGCGGACAGAGCCTGCAGACAGAAGGGATCAGAATGGAGGAGGACCACAAAGGCTGGTTAAGTACAGAGGCACAATCCGGGACTCAGATGTTGAACCACTGGCCGTGCAGAGTTCACCTGTGTTACCTGCTGATGCTGTGTGAAATCATCAGCTAAAAGCAACCCCCCCTCCCGCCCACTCATGGAGACCTCCAAAGGTTTCCACCACACCTAGCTGTCTGCTACACATCACCTTTAAATGTTTGCATTCTTTTGTTACTTTACGCACCATAAAACATAGCAAACGTTGGAAAAAGAGACATTTCCCGGCTGTCTGAGTGGCGGTGTGTCAAAGTGGATCTCCCAGGCTGACTGCCAGGCTTTCCTGTGTTTGTTTAGCCAGCACGCTCGTTCCACCTGCAGCAACCTGTTGCTCGGTATGGGTCATCAAAGCCACCGTACATACACACTTCCAGGAAAAGGGGGGCCGCTGTAACACGGAGAGATAATCACAGCAGGGCTGACCCGGGCCGCCACTCCACAACACACCAGAGGAATACTGACGTCACCCCGCTGTGGTTTTTCCAGGGTCTGCTTGTCCGGGCTTGGCTCGGCTGTAATCAGGAATGTGATCAGGACAACCTTTGAGTCGACCTGATCAGCCACAGAATCGCCATAATGAGAGGAAAAACACATCCTGTGGAGGAGTTTAGGGTTTTTTGGGGGCGGGTTTGGCAGCGGCCTGTTCCCCTAAAATACTCCCATATCTGTGATGATTTCCCCTTTGTTGGACCGACCTGGGATGTGTTCATGGGCTGATTTAACAGAGCCAGAATGCAGGAGAGGACAGCCGTGTTTTTTTTAACCAGAAAATCTCACAATTGAGTCATTAAAAAGAGCACACGGGTTATTAAATGTGGCCGCTGACAGAAAGCAGAGGTATTCTGGTTTACCCCAGAGTTACAGCGCCTACTCTCAGACCCACAACCACACCAGGTGGAAGTCTTCTCTTTGCTGAGACCACATCAGTGTCAGGTAAAGCCACAATGTGACTGACACACACGTGCCCGACACCGAACAGACAGCACACAAACAGCAGCCCTGTCCTAAGCAGGCTTCGCACCAGATAATTGCTTGTGCGCGGCTCCTTTCACTCCGTGCACGCGCCCAAAACCCAGCAAAGCGTGCTGGCTCGCTGGTCCTGACGGCCTACAGCTGTGACGCCTCACATGTGGCGCGTTGTTGATATAAGTGGGAACACAAGCGGAAAATTGGAGCTGGTGCTGGCGGAGCCAGACTCCTGACTTCCTGACAGGAATACAGTG